GGTTGTACACAGTGCTGGTGACTACATTGAAGGACAGTAAAACTTCGAAATATGCATCTATTTTGTATCAGTTGTAAATAAATAGTTGCCACTATTAAAGTTCCAACCCTCGTATGTCTGAATTTCCTACCAGCAATTGCATATGAGACATATGTGGTAACTTTACCATGATATACTGGCCTACATCACTAAGTGATGATGGTGCACCCCCGTCCCACAGCAGATGGAGTATATGTGGGTCAGCTGTAGTATATGAATTTACCGCAGGGAAAATTTAGATGCCTTATTGAGCTATGTAGCCATGTAGTCTGGTAGGTGGTTATCAACTTTTGAAGGCACCTGCTGCCTACATGTTTGGGGTGGAAGATGGAAAAGGCCAATTTCTNTGCCTACATGTTCGGGGGGGAAGATGGAAAAGGCCAGTTCCTCCAAAATGTTGGTAATGGCTTGCCAGACTGCATGGTGTTGTAGCTCAGAAGACCACACAGTGAAAGTAGTACAGTCACTTCCAGTTCTGTCACTTGACTGATTAAAGTTTACTGTGTGCAAGTGCTGATTCTGTCAAGCGACTGTTGCATCTGCTTGTCATTTCTTCCTACTGATGTCACCCAAATACAGTGAAGCTTTAGTAAATGTAGAATGTTGAAGCTTGAAGAAGTTGGAACATACAGTTTGTCAATTTGAGGCTCTCACGGTATTGGCTGTGAAGAGTTCTGACATTTGTTATATAATGTCATGTAATCAGGTGAAAGTTAGCTGATTGTGTCACTGTACAAGGTCGAAGAGTAAGCTAAGCAAGAAGCCAGCTCAAAGCAGGCTCTTCTCTTCCTTTGAAACGTATATTTACTGTCATTGGGCAACATGGTGTTATACCCCGAAATATATAACTCTTCGCGCAGCAATTGTTTTGCACATGTTCTGTTTCTGTTTATAATATATTGAGTTCAAAATCCTCTGTTTCTGGAATAATTGCTGGCCCAGCAAATGGAATCACAGTATGGGGGCATGGCAGTAGATGTGTTAAGATGTTAAGTTTTCATTTTTTCCTGATGTGGGAGAGGGGGCACAGAATTTTTGGAAATGTGCTATCAGCACCCCCCCTTCTACACACCCACATCCGTTAACCCTTTAATTCTGAATGGCCGCTTTAGATATGGTCTAGTAAATACCACATTGAATATTGTATTGGTAACACTCATGGCAATATTGGAGGTGGCCACATTCTATGCAGGATGGGTCATTGAGTTTAGCATATTATTAATTCTAAATTTTTGAGAATTATGCTGAAGCAAATACTTACTTTATGTTATTTACACTGTAAACCAAAGAAGAATAAATTTCACATACAGTTTCTGTGATTTATGCTCTTTGACATGGGTTTTAGGTCATATCTCAGCACCAAATAGTTAGGAAGGTACAGGCTTCTACCTAGCATACACGTGATCAACAAATTAAAGGATATAAAAAGTTGTGACTGCACCATCAGAGTTGGCATTTAATTTGGACTTGAAGTGTCAATGTCCCTGTTTATAGGGTATGGTTTACAATTTTTTTAGCATGGAGTTTGTTGTCCTTTTTCCAGTATTATTACAGATATGACTCATCACAATGTCTTACATAATAAGAAAAGTTGTTTGCGTGACAGAATAAGTTAGTTACTTTCTGATAACTTTCTGTTAATACTCTTTAAAACTTAACCATTTATTACTTTCTGTTGAAGTTTAATGTCATACCTAAATTGGTTGTAGTTCCTGAAAACTTTTCAGTTACACTGTGCGTTCCCCTGTAGCCAAACTGGTAGAAGTAGACAGGAGCAGAGTTGACAGCAGCTTGAAGTTTGGCTGCCCGTACTGCCTCCAGCACAAACAGTCTGTCCGTAGTTATCTGCACATGCAAGGAGCACATTAATCCACTTCTTTATTTCAGTTTATAATAATATAGGTAACTGTGATTAATAATCTGTATGCATCATAAACATGAGTAAATTCTCAAAGTTTTAATTGTTTCTTGCATCCTGTTGTGTATTTAATCAATATTAGAGTCAATTTTACTGACCACACAACATATTTTTATTATTATTACACTACATGTTTCGACCTCAAGAGGTCATCCTCAGGTGTACGAACACAGCTGTATAATTACACGCAATCACATTTGTCTTCTCAGTTATTCGATCCTATATCTTATTCAGGCTCACGCTCAGTATTATATCAAGCTCTCATAAAACACAAGTTAAAATTGTTCTAAATGTCAAAAGTTAAAATTTAAATTTAAATTTTAACTTTTGACAAATTTTTAAAAATTTTAAATTTAAATTTTAACTTTTGACATTTAGAACAGTTTAACTTGTGTTTTATGAGAGAGCTTGATATATTATTGAGCGTGAGCCTGAATAAGATACAGGATCGAATAACTGAGAAGACAAATGTGATTGCGTGTAATTATACAGCTGTGTTCGTACACCTGAGGATGACCTCTTGAGGTCAAAACATGTAGTGTAATAATAATAAAAATATGTTGTGTGGTCGGTAAAATTGACTCTAATATTAAATTCTCAAAGTGTTGTATGTTACACTGTGTTTGAAGCAACTGTAAGGTTATGTCATCACCTGATAGCGACATACATCATTATGTCATCACCAAGAAATTATTAGGTTCTATTTGCAGCATACTGTAGGGACCAAAATTGCCATACTGGATGGAGTCTTGTTGAACACGTAAGACTTTTCTTTTGTAATGTTTACCTATGCAAGGTATGAAGTACCTTCAAAGATGTTTTAGGCAATACTCATATCTCTGTCCACAGGAAGATGCAAAAGGAGCACTACAGTTTTAAATGAAGCTGAATTACTGTGACAGTTTTTTTTTTCATATACATAAAAGGGGCATATGGTAGCATAGTTGTTTGGGGCACTATGCTACAAGCCAGAATGTTGCAGGTTTGATTCCTAATGAGGTCATTGACTTTTTTTTTTTCAATTTACCTGATCCTTCTGGCCTCAGTATAACCCTTGGGTTGACTCAACCTCTGACAGAAATGAGTACTAGGAATCTTCTTAGGGGGTAAGGGGCAGTGGATGCATAAAGCTGACAACCTTACTGCCATCTGTGAGCCTATTATCTATGAGATGTGAGAGCCTCANAAATTTTGACAAATTTTTAAAAATTTTAAATTTAAATTTTAACTTTTGACATTTAGAACAGTTTAACTTGTGTTTTATGAGAGAGCTTGATATATTATTGAGCGTGAGCCTGAATAAGATACAGGATCGAATAACTGAGAAGACAAATGTGATTGCGTGTAATTATACAGCTGTGTTCGTACACCTGAGGATGACCTCTTGAGGTCAAAACATGTAGTGTAATAATAATAAAAATATGTTGTGTGGTCGGTAAAATTGACTCTAATATTAAATTCTCAAAGTGTTGTATGTTACACTGTGTTGGAAGCAACTGTAAGGTTATGTCATCACCTGATAGCGACATACATCATTATGTCATCACCAAGAAATTATTAGGTTCTATTTGCAGCATACTGTAGGGACCAAAATTGCCATACTGGATGGAGTCTTGTTGAACACGTAAGACTTTTCTTTTGTAATGTTTACCTATGCAAGGTATGAAGTACCTGCAAAGATGTTTTAGGCAGTACTCATATCTCTGTCCACAGGAAGATGCAAAAGGAGCACTACAGTTTTAAATGAAGCTGAATTACTGTGACAGTTTTTTTTTTCATATACATAAAAGGGGCATATGGTAGCATAGTTGTTTGGGGCACTATGCTACAAGCCAGAATGTTGCAGGTTTGATTCCTAATGAGGTCATTGACTTTTTTTTTCAATTTACCTGATCCTTCTGGCCTCAGTATAACCCTTGGGTTGACTCAACCTCTGACAGAAATGAGTACTAGGAATCTTCTTAGGGGGTAAAAGGCAGTGGATGCATAAAGCTGACAACCTTACCGCCATCTGTGAGCCTATTATCTATGAGATGTGAGAGCCTCAACCTCTCACACCTCTGTGGGCCTTGATAGCCTGTTACATAGACAGCTTTACCTTTTTACCATNGTTTTATTTGTGTTTTATGAGAGAGCTTGATATATTATTGAGCGTGAGCCTGAATAAGATACAGGATCGAATAACTGAGAAGACAAATGTGATTGCGTGTAATTATACAGCTGTGTTCGTACACCTGAGGATGACCTCTTGAGGTCAAAACATGTAGTGTAATAATAATAAAAATATGTTGTGTGGTCGGTAAAATTGACTCTAATATTAAATTCTCAAAGTGTTGTATGTTACACTGTGTTGGAAGCAACTGTAAGGTTATGTCATCACCTGATAGCGACATACATCATTATGTCATCACCAAGAAATTATTAGGTTCTATTTGCAGCATACTGTAGGGACCAAAATTGCCATACTGGATGGAGTCTTGTTGAACACGTAAGACTTTTCTTTTGTAATGTTTACCTATGCAAGGTATGAAGTACCTGCAAAGATGTTTTAGGCAGTACTCATATCTCTGTCCACAGGAAGATGCAAAAGGAGCACTACAGTTTTAAATGAAGCTGAATTACTGTGACAGTTTTTTTTTTCATATACATAAAAGGGGCATATGGTAGCATAGTTGTTTGGGGCACTATGCTACAAGCCAGAATGTTGCAGGTTTGATTCCTAATGAGGTCATTGACTTTTTTTTTCAATTTACCTGATCCTTCTGGCCTCAGTATAACCCTTGGGTTGACTCAACCTCTGACAGAAATGAGTACTAGGAATCTTCTTAGGGGGTAAAAGGCAGTGGATGCATAAAGCTGACAACCTTACCGCCATCTGTGAGCCTATTATCTATGAGATGTGAGAGCCTCAACCTCTCACACCTCTGTGGGCCTTGATAGCCTGTTACATAGACAGCTTTACCTTTTTACCATATACATAAATGAAAAAGTACTCTGCTATTGAAGATCTCAAGATTTTGGCAGATTCACATGTTTTCAGCACCCCTGAATGCATAAGAGTGTTTTTTTGGAGTGGTGTCTGTATGTATGTATGTATGTAGGTAAGTCAATAATTATCTGCAATGTAGCTATAAATTTTATTTCAGTACAAATAGAAAACTTACATTAACATCATTTTTGAACATAGTCCCCTTGCTTTTCAACGCATATGGTCCATCGTTGCACAAGCTTCCTGATGTCCTCAGAAAAGAAGGTTTTTGGCTGAGCAGCGAGCCATGCATGCACCGCTTCCTTCACTTCTTGGTCCGAGGTGAATCGACAGCCCCTTAATGCCTCTTTGAGTGGACCAAACAAGTGGTAGTCAGAAGGGGCGAGATCAGGACTATACAGAGGATGAGCCATTACATCAAACTTGAGTTTCCGGAGGGTTGCAGCAGTGTGGGCAGCAGTATGTGGACGAGCATTGTCGTGCAACAACACAACACTTTCGACAGTAGTCCTTGGCGTTTGCTTCAAATTGCAGGCTTTATCCTGTCAGTAAGCATCTCACTGTAATGAGCACTGTTTATTGTTGTGCCCCTCTCCTGCTAATGTTCCAGTACTGGGCCTTGTGAGTCCCAAAAAACTGTAAGCATCAGTTTTCCTGCGGATGGTTGGCTTTTGAACTTTTTTTGCTGGGCGATTGTGGATGTTTTCATTCCATACTCTGCCGTTTACTCTCCAGCTCGCAGTGATGGATCCATGTTTCGTCACCAGTGATGATTCTGTCTAAGAAGACGTCACGTTCGTTACCACAGTGATCCAAATGTTATTGGCAGATGTCCAAGCGCATTTGTGTATGCAACACTGTGAGTTTGTTTTGGGACCCATCTTGCAGAGACTTTATGAAACCCAAGTCTCTTGTGGATGATTTCATAGGCAGAACCATGACTAATTTGCAGACGATTTGCCACTTCATCAATAGTCACTCGTCTGTCTAACAGAACCATGTCACGTGCATGCTCAATGTTGTCCTCATTTGTGGCCATGGATGGTTGTCTGGCTCCTTCCTCATGCATAACACTTCTGCGACCATTTTTTAATTTTTCAATCCATTCGTAGACACTCCGTTGCGGCAAAACACTGTTCCCATATTGTGCTGAAAGTCTTCGATGGATTGTGGCCCCTGATTCACCTTCCGACTACAAAAACCGGATCAATGAACGTTGCTCTTCTTTGGTGCGAACAGAAAGCGGAGCAGCCATGATTAACGACAAGGCAGTGACGATGGAACTGACCTAGCAACATCAAATCTGTGCAGAAATAATGACAAGGAAACCACGCATGGCGATGCTGTGCAAAACGACTGTGCTGCCAACAGAAACACAAATACAACTGCATTGCGGATAATTATTGACTTCCCCTCGTATGTGTGGACACACAAATGTAATATGCCTTGATAGTGCCTGAATGGCTGTACAGATTTTATCCAAAAATGGCATCTAAGAATTTATTCATCATAAATCAGTGCCTGGAGAATGTGAACATTCTAGCTCCAAAAGTAGGGATCTTATAGCCGTAAAATATAAAATCGTGGATTTCTCTAAAATGGCCCAAACAAATTTCAATTTATTTTATTAATTTGTATAGACTATGTCCCTAAATAAAACCATGTGAAGGGCATCTTCAGGAAAATAATCATATGCCCTCTGTAGTGCTACAAACATGACATACCAGTTCTCACAAAAGAGGGTTGACTAGTTTTGGTTACATTTCAATCATCCATAGAGGCACTGAACACAAATGACACTTTTTAGAACATAACGCCCCAAACATAATGGAATTTGAGCAGTGAGCCCGAAGCCAGTGCCCAGTCACAAATTATTGCTTTTCTCAAAAATGGCTCTAGTGATTTTAATTAATTTTCACAAATTTGTAGTTCCCAAACAGAACTATTATTTTCAGTATGCCCAAATAATACTTATTTGCTATGAGTAGAAGTCTGCAGTACATCAAGCATATATAAGAAAGTATGTGCATTGCCTTTGCACCCTTTTTTTTTTACCAGGTTTTTGAGGACATTAATACATAAGTAAGTGGTTTTGTGGCCTGACCATAATGCCCATGATATATGTGAATTGTGTACCTGCCATTATGGTTGCCAATTTGAACAGTTTTTAAAATGCAGGTAGTTTGGAACTGTTGTGCTATTTTTGCATCAACTTGTATTTCCAGACTAATTTGTGCATTGTGGTGAATGTTAATCAAGTGAAGTGGTTTCCCATTTTCGTTTGAGCTAATAACCTCAGCTTTTTGCTGAGTCACAAGTATCTGGATATTATTTGACCCAACAACAAAAGTGATGGGTGAGGAGATGGTCTTTACTATAACAGATTAACTTAATGTTAGTTGGAAAAGAATGCCCATTTACCCCCTACTTTTCCTTTCAGTGAACTCATCACATCTCACAGGTCACTCAGTATCCAAGAGATTATTTTTGGCAGCAACATTTGTGATAAGTTTGTAGCAGTGCAAGTAACGGAGTAATATTGTTGTATAAAGGGATGTAGCACTGGGGAAAGAAAAAAATACCATTTTCTGGCTGGAAACTTGGAAATATAGTGTAGTCAAGATCACATTGGTCTCTTAGATTTTAGTCTTTCTTTCAGTCATACAGTGCGCATTTGTCTCCATTTGTTTCTCTCTGTTTCAGGTAAGTTTAACATTTGTACCTGAATGCTTGAAACGAGATATGCAAGGTGCAAGGGTGAACACCAGCTGAGTAAGTCCTCATCTCCGTTAAATATGAATTACTTTCTGTCATGAAATGAAGCAGCTACATACAGTAGTCTGGCTAAACCTGTGGTTCCAGCTGTTTGGAAATTATCCTATTGAGACCTGCTTGAATGTGTTGTGTATTTCAAGATTAAAAATAAATGTACTGTGCATATTCTTTATTGGCCATGCATTGCACAGTTGTGACAGCACATGTGTGCTCTGCACGTTAGTGAGTGTGACATTTTTCTGTATTAGCAACATTACTCTGACATAAAAGGAGCCAGGATAACACAGTTGGTATAGCGACTGGCTATGGGCTGGACGACCGAGGGGTCTGAGTTTGAGTCCCAGTAGGGGCATGAATTTTCTATTCTCCATGTCATCCAGACCAGTTCTGGTCTCACCCAGCCTCCTGTGTAATGGGTACTGGGGGCTATTTTATGGGGGGGGGTAAAGCGACCTGAGCATGAAGCTTGCCACTCACCTCCAACTAGTACCAGGGTCAAGAAAACATGGATCTATGCATCCACTCCCCCATACACCCTCATGGTGTAGTGACCTTTACCCTGACATAAAATCTCGCTAACAGTTCCCATAGTATATAACTGTTGGACTAACCCCATGGAGCTTAACCCTTCTTGAGAAGCCAGCAGTCGCTCAGCCACTTGAGAAATTCCTGGCAGCTTATTGAACCCAAAGGTTTGTTAGCATGTTCACAAGAGCCCTCCACTCATCCCTGTCCTGAGCCAGATTGATCCTGTCCATGCCATCACACCCTATCTCTCTAAGATCCATTTTAAAATTATCCTCCTACCTACTTCTAGGTCTTCCTAGTGGTCTCTTTCCTTCTGGCTTTCCCACCAAAATCCAATACACATTCCCCTTCTCTGCCATGCATTCTACATTCCTTGCCCACCTCATCCTCCTTGACTCGATCATCTTAATTATATTTGGCAAAGAGTACAAGTTACGAAGCAGTACCACATGAGAGTCTAAAATCTTATATCCCCAAGTGATGGTGAAATCAAATTTATTAAATGAATTTATTTATTTATTTGTAGTTTATTTAGCAATGGGGTGTGTAGGTGTGCCTATCAGTAACAAATGGTAGGATGATTCATGAGTGATGAATTCAGAAGGATATGGAGAGAAGCAGTAATGACTAGTTTAAAAGTACTTTAAAGGTCCTGTTTACTTTGATGGATCAAGGAAATCCATTATGATCTGGAGTCAGGATAGTCAGTGTCTCAGCTGAGATTTGAACCAAGCCCCACCAAGTACAGGTCAGAAGCCTTACTACTTGATCCATCTCGTTTGGTTTGTAGCACAAAAGTACAAAGAAAATATACAGCAAATAGTATTGTATAATAATAATGGTACATCGGGTGGGTGATAATGACAACATTGAATTGCCAGGATAGTACCACCAGCTTGGCTGCACCTTGTTCTTACTACGTCCATACTGATTCGTTTTTAACTAATCATTCTACCATTCAACAGTATGTAAAGTTCTGGTCTGAGTTGCTGGCAGCGCTATCATTAAATGAGTAAGGAATAAGTACTAACTCTGTTTGCAGCAATCTTACCCGTGTGATCTCCTTTCTGGCCTTTATTGACAGTGGTTTTCCCTGAAGATAGTGTTGAAGTATTCTGTTAGTAACATCCAGCTTCTTATCCTCAGCAACAGTATAATTGTAGTCTAGGATGTGAGGGAAGAGTTCAGCAAACCTCTGCTCAAGAACTTTCATCACATTCTCATTGGCAATCCAGTCTGAATATAACATTTAAAAAATTATAAGTTGTCATAGTTGTGGTTATGGAGAATTAGCTAGAAACCAGCATGAAGCTGCTTGTTGCCTGCTTCGTGCTGGTTTCTTGCTTGGCTTATTCTTTGGACCTGAAGAAGGAGGCGACATGTTCCTCTGAAACATCAGTAGATAGTGGATTGCATGGTGTTATATCCCAGAAGGTAAAGCTGTTCATAGAATTTATATTTTGTACAGTGGTATGAGAGGGGTATGCAGTAGCATAGTTGGTTGAGGCACTATGCTACAAGCCGGAAGGTCACAGCTTTCATTCCTGATGAGGTCATTGGATTTTTCAATTGACCCAGTCCTTCCAGCAGCACTCTGGGCCTGGGCTCAACTCAGCCTCTAACACAAATGAGTACCAGGAAGCTACCTAGGGGTAAAAGACAGCTGGCGCTTAAGGCCGACAACCTTACTGCCACCTGTGAGCCGACTATCTAGAAAATGTGGGAATCTCAACCTCTCACAACCCTATAGGCCTTCATGGCTTGTTACAGAGATAGCTCTACCTTTACTTTTGCAGTGGTATCATAATGCATCCTCAAAAAAATAGATCACAAGATATTCTCTGTGGTAGACATCATTGTTACCACTCTTGAGCCTCTATGTTCTTTCAGAGATCTATGAGAAATGAATTGGAAGTACACAAACCTGCTGCAGGGTAGAGTCCATCCTCTGTGGTTACACTAGTGATCCAAGGAAGGTCTTGAACATCTCCTTGCAATATGGCATCAACTGGGGTCTTCGATAGGAACGGGTTAGAACCAGCCACTTCCACAGTAGGGCCAAATGGTGAAAATGGATTGTACCTCCAGATCTACAGTATAATTATTGTATTATTTACATTATGGTATTCTGGGCTGTGATACCATATAGTTTTTTATAGAGAGATACAAGTATTTTTGGGGAACTGCTGTCTCTGTGTTAAGGGTAAAGGGATCTCATATCCTTAAGATTAAGCCAGGTGGGTCATCCAAAACGATGGTACCCATTTGTCATACTACATTCAGCACATTCTAGAAGGCAGTAATCCGCGTACTCATTTACAGGAGAGTGTCAGGTCTCAGAATTAACTAATTTTGTTCTGTGTCACAAATGTTGTGTGATTCCTGAGGCATATAGTGACCAATACAGAATAGCTTTAGTCTGTATGGTAACATTACAAACTGTGATTTCCTTCCACTTCTTTCCATCTATTGCTTATAGCATAGCCTTTCTGGGATGAAGTGGTTGCAAGATAACTCCCACAGAGAGGATTCATGAGTTGTGGTGAACAGTATGAGTAGCGTTGAATAAAGTATTACCACGTTGTGCATTAGTGGAATGTGAGGTTTGAGGCTTTTATGGCAATGAGCGTTAATAATATGTCAACGTGTTCCGTTACTGAAGACGCCGTAGAGATGGTTAATTGGTTTATTTAACAATCTACAAATAACGGCTACAATTAATTATCACAATGTTGCGGGGTTTCACACTTTATAACCCTAATCGCATTAATCTGTTAACACTGTTGCGGGGTTTCACGATTTGTAACCCTATGCGCAAATCAGTTCACTCTGTGTTCAGTAGTCTACACGTTTACAGTAGGGGAGCTAGGTATCACTGTATCACACGTTCCCAATTACACAATCACACGCACGTCCGGATCTTCTATCCGCGGCGGCTGCTATACTCCAACAGTAGTCGGCTGACTGGAGAACTGTTGATAACACACTCGCTCGACTGCTACTTTATAACTCGGAAATGTCTTCGGCGATGGCCACGGTATAACTCGACTCGGCGACTATTACTTTACAGCTCAGCGGCTGTGACAGTACAACTGACTGGTAGCTGCTGTGCAGTTCCCTTATATAGCTGCAGTGGTGCCTGTTGCGTGCCACGTCACAGTAGGAAGCGGTTCCGCGTTACCGTGGCGTCACCGCGCATGGCGCGTTGCATAGCTACCAGGATGCGGGGGCTCGGCTCACTTCAGCTCCGCTCGTGACGTCACCGCGGGGAGAGTGGCGNATAAAGTATTACCACGTTGTGCATTAGTGGAATGTGAGGTTTGAGGCTTTTATGGCAATGAGCGTTAATAATATTGCAACGTGTTCCGTTACTGAAGACGCCGTAGAGATGGTTAATTGGTTTATTTAACAATCTACAAATAACGGCTACAATTAATTATCACAATGTTGCGGGGTTTCACACTTTATAACCCTAATCGCATTAATCTGTTAACACTGTTGCGGGGTTTCACGATTTGTAACCCTATGCGCAAATCAGTTCACTCTGTGTTCAGTAGTCTACACGTTTACAGTAGGGGAGCTAGGTATCACTGTATCACACGTTCCCAATTACACAATCACACGCACGTCCGGATCTTCTATCCGCGGCGGCTGCTATACTCCAACAGTAGTCGGCTGACTGGAGAACTGTTGATAACACACTCGCTCGACTGCTACTTTATAACTCGGAAATGTCTTCGGCGATGGCCACGGTATAACTCGACTCGGCGACTATTACTTTACAGCTCAGCGGCTGTGACAGTACAACTGACTGGTAGCTGCTGTGCAGTTCCCTTATATAGCTGCAGTGGTGCCTGTTGCGTGCCACGTCACAGTAGGAAGCGGTTCCGCGTTACCGTGGCGTCACCGCGCATGGCGCGTTGCATAGCTACCAGGATGCGGGGGCTCGGCTCACTTCAGCTCCGCTCGTGACGTCACCGCGGGGAGAGTGGCGGGGTGATGATTCGCCTATTACCCGAGCGCTACGTTCCGCTGGGGAGGTAGGGGTCAACATGTCACAATATGTTCTTCCGGGATTTGATACCTTGTTGCGTGGTAGGCAAGTACTCATCTACCAAACCCAGAAGACTGTAATCTTGTGAGTGAGATGTTTTTACAGTGTTTACAAATCATTGATCTGCTAAGGCACAAGTGTGAGATATTTTTCCTGTCAGGTAAAACTCTCAGAGATCAACACTGCTAGCAGAACTGACAAACCCACAGTCTGAATACATTACAGATAAAACTTGTGGCATGCTCTGAAAAATCTCGTTGTTTGCATATAATTGTAGTNTTCCCAATTACACAATCACACGCACGTCCGGATCTTCTATCCGCGGCGGCTGCTATACTCCAACAGTAGTCGGCTGACTGGAGAACTGTTGATAACACACTCGCTCGACTGCTACTTTATAACTCGGAAATGTCTTCGGCGATGGCCACGGTATAACTCGACTCGGCGACTATTACTTTACAGCTCAGCGGCTGTGACAGTACAACTGACTGGTAGCTGCTGTGCAGTTCCCTTATATAGCTGCAGTGGTGCCTGTTGCGTGCCACGTCACAGTAGGAAGCGGTTCCGCGTTACCGTGGCGTCACCGCGCATGGCGCGTTGCATAGCTACCAGGATGCGGGGGCTCGGCTCACTTCAGCTCCGCTCGTGACGTCACCGCGGGGAGAGTGGCGGGGTGATGATTCGCCTATTACCCGAGCGCTACGTTCCGCTGGGGAGGTAGGGGTCAACATGTCACAATATGTTCTTCCGGGATTTGATACCTTGTTGCGTGGTAGGCAAGTACTCATCTACCAAACCCAGAAGACTGTAATCTTGTGAGTGAGATGTTTTTACAGTGTTTACAAATCATTGATCTGCTAAGGCACAAGTGTGAGATATTTTTCCTGTCAGGTAAAACTCTCAGAGATCAACACTGCTAGCAGAACTGACAAACCCACAGTCTGAATACATTACAGATAAAACTTGTGGCATGCTCTGAAAAATCTCGTTGTTTGCATATAATTGTAGTTTGGTAGGTGGGAACCTGTTGGCTGTGTTGTGTGGTGTTACCACGACGAAGACCGTAATCTTAATACCAGTGAGATGTATTTAGCGAATTCCTACAAATTGTTGGGCTGCTCAGTCAGCAAGAGTAATACTCTCTTGTCATAAAGTCGGTCCCAAGAGATTCCAGCTGTTAGCAAAAGTGAAACTCTACATTCTAAATACATCAGAAATTAAACATATGGGAGACTAATAAATCTCAGTGTATACAGGTAAATAGCATAAGTAATACTGTTCTCAAATTGTTATATGCAATCTTATCCTCAGATGGTCATAGCATACTTTACCAATGAGGTACAGATATCTCACTTGCCTGAAAATTTTTCACTTGCTGTACAATCTGTCTTGCTGGTCGATTACGCAAGCAGTCCACAAGTTGTTCACTGCATTTTGTGTTACATCCCAGAGCTTCTCCCAACATTTTGGCCTTGGCTCTGCCTTGTTCCATTTGTGTCCATGGACACAAAGTAGTTCCACTTTGTGAATATCCTCTTTCAAAAAGACCTGTCAGTTAATGACAGAGATTTTATTATGGTGCTTGAATTAAATAGAACTTGCTTTCTGGTTGAAGTAAGAGGTATGTGTAGGTGTTGGAATGGCATAAATGTTGGCAAACCTCAGTTGCAGAACAAGCCTGCCCCCCTCTCTTTTTCTCTCTCACACACACGTGCATGTTGGTAACTGGAACACATGTAACCAGGACACTATCCACAAAACACATGTCTCTACAGTGAACAGAAAGCAGAATATAAGATGGATGCCATGGTGCTCGCCACCCCTCCCCACACACACACACACGCACATGCACGCGCGCGTGCACACACACCTTTTTACATCATTTTAAAAAGTTTTAAAAACTTCTGTGTATTAAATTAAAAAACACATATAATTAATTTTGTACCCACACTGCCATCACTACTAGAATGCAGTGTAACAGTATACTTACCTGATGATTGCCCTGTGTGGCTGAACATGTAGACTAAGTGGTGATTTCAACCACTGACCAGTGAAGCAGCATTAAAGACTGTATTTTGTGTGTATGTGTGCATGCGCGTGTGTGTATAACACATTATTAAACTGGTGCAGCAGGATAGTTAATTACAATATCATGATGAATTAACACTGCTAATACCAGAGTCTGCCATTGAAAAAGATAGTGTTCTGTCCACCCCCTGTCCTAACAAATGTATAGTTCAGTGGTAGAAACACTGACATTAGGAGGAATATGTCACCTCCATTTTCAGGGTTGAATAGTAAGCCAGTAAAAAATCCAGGTGCTTTTAACTTGCTTCTTACTGGTTTCATGCTTGGCTTACTCTTCGCCCTTGGTAATACAAGTGATATGTTCCTCCAACATGTTAGTGCGCCTCTGCTGAGCTTCATGATCTTGCAACTCAACGATACTATTTACTGTGGAAGGCTGCCCTTACCACGAGATTGAGGTGATATGTAATGGTAATGTACACTGGCTCCCCCAGCAGAATTTCCAGTTATGGTCACACTCTGTGGATTTCCACCAAATGCCGCAATATTCTTCCTTATCCAACGTAATGCTGCAGCTTGGTCCTTTAGTCCCATGTTTCCGGGAACTGTTTCATCCTCAGTGCTCAGGAATCCTGAAGAAAATCCACAAGAGATTGACACGATTGTATGTAACTCATAAGGTGAATGGCTTCTTGTAAGCTGTAAGGAGGGCTGTAGTACTGGGAGTCTGGAGGAAGTTGCATAATGAGGAGGTTTACAATATATACTCCTCACCACCTGTTAATTAGGATGATGAAATCAAAGAAGATGGGATTATGGAGGCATGTAGCATGCATTTGAGAGTAGTGCATGCAAAGATCTGGTAGAAAACCCTAAAGAAAAAAGACTGCTAGGAAGAACCTAGGCATACACGGGAGGACAGTATTAAAATGGATCATAGAGAAATAGGATTGGAGGATGTGGACTGGATTCATCTGGATCAGAATAGGGGCCAGCGACAGGCTGTTGTTAATACAGTAATAAATCTTTTGGTTCCAAAAATGTTGGGAATTTGAGTAGCTAAGTAATTTAGCTTCTCAAAGATTCCCTGCAGTTAGTCATATAAATTCAGTGCATATTCAGTGCATTCAGTGGATATCAATTCTGTACTTACCAAGAGGTCCAAGTCTGTAATTGAAAGTAACGAACACAGCATCTCTGTCTAGGATAAGGTGTGGCTTATACTCATGGCTCCAGCCATACATGAACGCTCCACCATGTATGAAAACTATCACATCCAACACATGTGTGAATTTATCTTTTGGTACCTGTTATGAATATACAATATGTGTAATTTGAATTTTTCATGGTGATGAACATGAAAATTGGTGTCCAGTGGGAGGTAATGCTGCAGAGTCTGATAAAAAGTTACCAGTGTTTCAAAGGAACTTACTGCTTCCATCCTTAGGTTGGGAACTCACTCTTATTCCCTGAATATGGAGCCAGCAGGTTCTTCCAAAGCACTGGTAACTTTTTACCAGACTGCACGACACCACAACTCAGAAGACAGCAGTAATCTTAGTGTAAAAACAGGCTATGATTTTATCACTAGTTTTAATGTTTTGTTGAGACTCAAAATAAGGAGTTCTGAACGTGGGGTGTAAGTACCCTGAGGTGGATACGTAGGTATATGAGGTGTCATAAGGTATGCATGAGATATATTTCATACAGTGCCAAAAATGAATGTCAAAAAAGAGACACAACTTTTTCTGTGCATGGAATAAATATGAGAGTAAGTCAATAGGTATGTTACAAATGGATATAGAACGTAAACAAATAAAGAGTACTGATTTGAAAAATGCTTTTATTTCTTAACATAATCTCCCTGTACATTGAGGCACTTGTCCCATCATTTCACAAGCCCCTGAAAACCAGCAGCATAAAATTCTTTGGGCTGCTGTTGGAACCAGGTGGTGACTTCACTTTCTACAGCTTCATCATCGGGAAAATATTCAGCTGAAAGATGATGTTTAAGAGGGCCGAACAAATCGATGTCGCTTGGAGCAAGACTTATCATCACCTGTGACAATTCAGGCTAGCATATCGTGTCCATCATGGTAGCAATTGAGATGCTGTAATGCCAGACCCATTCTTTGCATTTTGTGTTGTGGGGACTTCCATTTGGCCCTCTTAAACATCATCTTTTGGCTGAACATTTTCCTGATGATGAAGCTGTACAAAGGGAAAGGGAAGTCACCGCCTGGTTCTGACAGCAGCCCAAAGAATTTTATGCTGCTGGTTTTCAGGGGCTTGTGAAACAATGGGACAAGTGCCTCAGTGTGCAGTGAGATTATGTTGAGAAATAAAAGCATTTTCGAATCAGTACTCTTATCTGTTTAAGTTCTATATCCATTTGTAACTTACTTATTGACTTACCTACGTACCTTATTTAAAACAAGAAAGTCCTTGTATCTTATTGTATTTATAATACATGGTAACATGTAGGTTGAGTTAAAAATTAGGTTTCCATTCAAAAGTGATACATGAAGTTTCACTATTAGAACAAGGGATATGTGAAGTTTCACTCTGGGTCAAGGGGCACATAAACTTTAATACTGAGAGCAGGGGTACTTGAAGTTTGTCAGTGAAGTGAAGGCATAGATAGTGTTCCTCTGAGACCAAGGATCATATTGACTGAAAATGGTTCAGAAATTGTGCTAAAAACGACAGTTCTGTGCATTTGCATAAAATCTGCCATAAGCACATTTACTACTTAAAAAAAACTCCGTGGTTTTAGTCCCCAAGCAAACTATACCGACCAAGCGACCGCCACTTTTCGGCGAAGTTAGTGCCAAATTTAGCGGATAGAGGTTGCCGCGTGGTCAGCACAATGAATCCCCATGGCCTTTAATTTCGGTTTTCTAGACTGGAGCCAGTATTTCCTTGAAATAGCTCCTCAGTTATCCTCACAAGGCTGAGGGGAACCCCATTCCAGACTCACTACTACTCAGAAAATCTGGCAGCGCCGGGAATCGATCCTGGGACCTCTGGATCTGTAGCCAGGTACTCTGACCACAAGACCACATAGGCGGTCTGAACAGAATATAAAATAAAATATTTGGTTGAAATCTGTTAGACAATATGCACATGAAGTTACACTTATAGTTTCTCCTAATCCAAAGGACAGTGGTTATAATATACACCACATGCTTAAACATTAGGAGTGCCTTTCGTTTGTTTCACTGAACAGCATCAACCAGTTGGTCTCTGTTATGGAGATGAATTATGTTTCCTGTGAGGTATGACTTGAAATTGTTAACATTATTTAGATTAACTTCAGGCTTTAGAGGGTAAATAATGTCTCATAAATTGTGTTAGAATGCTTGATTACCTTCGGGGTATAGACATTGATAAAAAGACAGTCTTCTTCACCAACAATTGGATCTTGATCATCTGCAAAAGGGGTTAATTTGTTGTACTGCAGGCACATGCTGCCTGGTAGACTGGCATTCCAAATGCCTCTCCATGGTTTTGGTGGTACAGGGTCCTGTACAGACAGTGTAAATATGTTACTTATGCCTGTAACAGGGATCATTGTGAGCCTCTAAACCCTATGTAAAAAATGAAATACTAGAGAACAAAAAGTTTCATTTTATCCTTCATCCATTGAAATAATAATTAGTATACTGCTTAATTATCCATAGGGTGTCACTACAATATGGGTTTTGTTTAATTCATTAATACCTGGTTACAGCCCTTCCAGCGTTCTGTGTCATTGGAAAGTTGAAGAAAACAAAAATATTTTTACTCGCCCCTTCAATAAGGAGTAGAGGGACAGAAATAATTTAAATTGTAACATATACCTCAAGGTGTTTGAAAAATATGTTCACAAGAATACATTTCTTATAAAGAGTGAGTAAGTAACTGAATATAAAAGCAGCCTCCGTAGTCTAGGGGTAACGTTCCCACCTCATGACTCAAGGTACGTGGGTTCAAACCCGGCGGAGGTCGTGGAATTTTTAAGGGTGGAAAAATTCAGGGAACAAGTCCTCTGGGAGGGACTTTAAGCCGTGGGTCCCGTGTCGTAGATTTACGGCACGTAAAAGATCCTCATGTCTCTAGGAGACCTCTGAGCAAAATTAGGCAAAAAGTTTCCTGNAAAAAATGCTTTTTTTTTAGTAATATGAGGAAGGAAAGTATTAGTGTAGTATAGACCTACTAAAAGAATAAAACTTAACTTGGAAATTACGTATATTTCAAACTTCTGGAAGTGTATGATTCTTCTTTCCTTCACCTTAAATCTGTGTTATTTGAGAACATATTGGGGTGGATGTTGGAAGTTGTATATAAACAAATAACCAAGTTTCTAATATTCTGCACATCATTTTCCTCAAAAGGTTTTGGGTACTTTATTCCACGTTCCAGAGCAAGCACACGATTAGTCCTTTTATCATTCTTTATGCCTACCCAAGTCTGCATTCTAAAAAGTGTTTGAACCTAGAATGTTCATATTGACAGGCACCGACCAACAGTGAATAAACTTTCACAAATCAAATATGAATAAAATTCGTCCGTCTGTTCAGGTGGTATCGAGACTGCATTTCAGAAAACACGTTTTCATAATTCATTCCAGAAATCACCCTTTCATAATTCAAAACGTAGGAGAGCCAGAAAACTTCTAAATACGTCAAAATTTCGAGTTTTTTTCGTCATCACGGTATTTTCTGATGTGTGAGAAAGCAGAACATATTTCAAATCTTACCTTGAACCTGAGGCTTCCAACTGGAGGTTCTGCGTACGGTATTCCTTGGAAGGCAACAAATGTACGCCCATTTCTTGATGTTAAGGTAGCACCCTCAAGTTCACCTTGTTCTATACGGACCTTGTGTGTCTCCGTAGAGTATACAGCTTTCAGTGTTAGTGTGGCACAGATTAACAATAATTTGGCCAGCATTGTTCACTCTGTCACGTACAAAGTCAGCATATATATGTATTTTCTTTGGAGACTGTCTTTGGATTATCCTTTTATATCTCTCAGTTTGATTTGCAATATACCTACATTATTTTATCTCTTTTATCTGTTTGCTTGTGTACAACCTGTACCAAGAGAGAAACACGAAGTCCAAGAACTGAGATGCAGCAAGTGGAGAACAAAATATGTAGTGTAGAATTCCACTATCAGTGTTAGGAAACTTTGGACTCTATGGTCATCGAATTGCCCTTGGGATATACATTGTAGAAAGAACCGAACTTCGTTCCTAATACACGTATTTACTATAGGATTCTGGCGATGGTGTATAACACACAGAGATATTGGGTTTCCAGGCCATCATCCTAGTTTTAAAATAACAAAGAAAAACATGACGTTTTGGAAACTGGATCTGTTTCCATCCTCAGGTGAGGGAAAAACACCTGTTCTGTTGGGTCCCTTAGAAAGAGCTAGCCTCAATCACTGGACAAACGATGTCACAAAACACATGGGTTATAAACACCTGAGACCAGGCTAAGTCCATGAGAGCTAATAAGAAAAATATGCATTACAAATTGTTCCAAATACGTATTTGGAACAAATTGTAATGTATATTTTTCTTATTAGCTCTCATATATACACATATACATATTTGGAACAAATTGTAATGTATATTTTTCTTATTAGCTCTCATGGACTTAGCCTGGTCTCAGGTGTTTATAACCCATGTGTTTTGTGACATCGTTTGTCCAGTGATTGAGGCTAGCTCTTTCTAAGGGACCCAACAGAATAAATGTTTTCCCCTCACCTGAGGATGGAAACAGATCCAGTTTCCGATGTTGTATATGATGGTGTGATGTATTGGATATTATTAATGTAACAGGTATAGGGCAACTAGAATAATTACAATGGTTACGGTTCATAAGTAATATTTTATTAAATTCAAATATAATATTGAATGATGATTACGAAATGTAACAGCACAGGCTTGTCACATACTGTAACTTGACTTTCACCGATGTTATCCACCAGAGGACAAACAAGACTTGTTTTGAACCAGGGAAAGCAAATAAGAATAGTCATGTTGCTTCACAGAGAAACTGGAAAACATCAGTTAAAGTCCGAGAAAACAAGCCAAGGTCCAGGAAGACCCACCATATGAAATAACAATAGAATGTTCTAGAACATTCCTATATGACGAAATTTGTACCTTCCAAGGAAGCTTTCAGACAAAGTCCCCACCTCACAGACAGGGCTATGAGAACCCTGACCTAACCGTGCAAAACGCTCTCTAATCTGGTTACGAAGTTTAGTCTATAGGACGGTACTCTCTCAGTTAGGAGTCGGCCACTGCTAAAGCCTTAAGCAGCCTTGCTGTTGTTACAGTTGTACATATTTACTGTGTAATAAACTCCCTTGAATTAAGCATCTTCCAGCAGAGTATCTCCACCAAAATGACGGACAACGTTTGCCGCTCGACCGACTCCGTCAAGACCAACCCACAAGTACGAATATCCACTCTGTCGCCCGACAGTGTGGCATACGACACCAAAACGTCGTGTTCTTCTTTGTTATTTTAAAACTAGGACGATGGATAAAGTCCGAAAACCCAATATCTCTGTTTGTTCCTAATGTTGGTATATGCAAAGTTGTGAGTGGCAGATTCTAAAATTGTGAAGCAAAATGGCTCCTGTTTCAAATGAGTAGCAAGGTTTTTGGATAACCTTGAAGTGACATTCTTAAGAGAGCTTTGTTCTTTATTTTTTGTATTTATTTAAATTTGCTACTTATGTTGATTTTTAGTGTACTTTCCTGAGTCTGAAAGCATAAAAGTAGGCTTAAGAGATTGCCTTGCTCTCTATATGTGCACCGTCCCCATCAATTTTTGAATATCTGAACCAATCTTTATGAATCTTGGTATGTATGTCAGTGGCACCTTAGTATATTTCTTGTTCGTAATAATACTACCATAGTCAATAAGTTAGTGGACCAGCTGCACAGCGTCGTTGCAGTGCGCTACATCGGATAGGTTGAGGCAAGATGTAATGCCCTGTCAGTTCATCTGTCGTCACAGCAAGAGGCAGTTGTGTGCAAACAGTGTAAGCAGAACTACGGCCTCTATTGTGAACTGCAGTTAAATGCAAGTGGTAGAAATCGAAAATGTGGCAGTTTGAACAATGGGCAAACATCAAGTTCTACCAAAATCTAGGCAAATACCCTAGAGAAACGTTTAACATGATGAAGCAAGTGTATGGTGAAGAAGCTTTGGGCTGCAGTGCCGTGTTTAAGTGGCACCAGCATTTTGCGCAAGGGAGAGACAGTCTGGAGGATGATGAGTGTAGTGGTCGGCCAAAAGCAGTCAGAACTGAATGCAAGATCGAAGAAGTTGCAACGTTGGTATGTGCCAACCGCTCCCAATCGATAGATGATATCACAGCAGCAGTAGGGATAAGCCATGGTACGTGCCGCAAAATTCTCACTGATAACCTGAAAATGTCGCATTTTTTTTTTAATTCGCTTAGTGGGGGGTTGAGTCCAACTGGGTCAACTCAGCACGGCGACCACTGATTGGCCTATTGTAGCCTGCCGCAGGTGATTATGATGATGGAGAATTTGGTGGAATGAAGATTGGCAGGGGAAACCGAAGTACTCGGAGAAAACCTGTCCCAGCGCCACTTTGCCCACCACAAATCCCACTTGACCAGACCCAGGATGGAACCCGGGCCGCCACGGTGGCAAGCCAGTGACAAACCGGTTCAGCTATGGAGCGGCCATGTCGCTCGCATGTTACTGAGCACTGTGTTCCATGCGTCCTGATTCAAGACCAATGTGACAATCACATGACCATATGTAGTGATCTGATCAGTAAATGCTGACAGAGATGAGACATTTCTCAACTGGATCATTAAAGGAGACAAAACATAGTGTTTTCTTCATGATCCACAACTGAAGGGATAATCAGCCACCTGGAAATCGCCATCATCGCCAAGAAAGAAGAACCCGCAACAGGACAGGTCAAAAGGCAAGGTGGTGCTTGGACTGTTTTTTGGCTCATCGGGAATTGTTCACATAGAATTTATCCCACATGGAGCAACTGTAAATAAGGACAGGTACAAGGAGATCCTTAACCGTCTACGCAGTTCACTCCGTCAAAAGTGTCCTGAGCTTTGGCGTAGGAAGAATTCGCTGTTGCTACACGACAATGCCCCTGCATATCGTTATGTTCTTGTCCAAGAGGAACTGGCAATGCAACAGGTCACCATTTTGCCACAACCTCCGTACTCGCCTGATCTCGCACCATGCAATTTCTTTCTCTTTCACTGCTTGAAAGTAAAGTTACATGGTCGTAGATTTCAGTTGTCCAAGGAGGTTGTCAATGCCAAAAGAGATGCTGTATGGGAATTTTGTACGAATATGTTTCAGCGATGTTTTCGGCAGCTATATCAACGTTGGCAGACTTGCATAGCGGCCAACAGTGACTATTTTGAGGGCCGATGTGAATCTATGTAAATGTATGTGAATACCTTGTAATATGATGCGATAAAACCAAAGTCCACGAACTTAATGACTGTACCACATACTTCCACCCCATGAGAGTTCTGAAGCCCGTCACGAGGCTGAGATGTTGATAGCAACACTCTTTTCATAAAAGGTAGTGTCTGTATAATGACCCTTTGATTCTTAACCCATTATTTTTATCATTTTTTCTCTTACTCCTTTACCAGAATTAATATTTTATTTCTCGAACATGCTAAAATTGTATTACTGTGAGGAAAGTCTGTTATCTCTTACTTTTTTACTCAGTAAAGCACTTAGTTCCATAATTTTTCTGTTTGTATTAAGCAGGCAAATCAAAGTCTGCATTCAGCCAATGATCTGATGAATAGAAGTCAGTAGGTTATCTCTAGAGTTCATGATGTTTGGGATGCTGTACATTTGGAATGTTCACATTACGCTGGGGTTCACTGATTGGGAGAGAGTCCCAGAATTCTCTGTGTCCAAGGTCAAGGCTTGATCTCATTTCCAAGTGACTGCTGTTGGTGATATACAGATATGCAAGCTCAGTGCAGTTGGCTGTCACTGGTTCCCAAGTGAAGTTCCTTCCACTGGTGACGGGATTTCTGTATAAAATGAAAAAAAAAAAATGTTACAGTGAGAACATACATTGTGCATATAAAAATGTTTGAGGATGCATCATCATACAGTTATCTAGGTGAATACATCATTAGGAAGTTACTAGAGTCTAGTTTCAGCATATGATAATAGTCAAAATCACCATACTGGAGATATTGAACACAAAAGAATTCAGAAGAAAGTCGTCTTCTGGGTTTAGGCACCGTGTATTCTTCATTTTGGCCGACGTTTCGGAGGAACGTAGCGCCTCCATCTTCAGAGTAGTTGAATGGCTGGAATGCGGAGAGCAGTAGCTGTAACGTCAGCCAAAACGAAGATACACGGTGCCTAAACCCAGAAGACGACTTTCTTCNAATGTGGATGTAGGACATTTTGGAAGGGGGTGCATTATTTTCCACCATAAAAAGGCTTAGAAAATATGGTCGTAAAATACTTTTCTTATAAAGGTGAGTTAGTAACAGAATAAAAAGAAAAATTGTGTATAGTCTTGAGTAAAAAAAAATAGGCAGAGCTATCCTTGTAGCTGGCCATGGAGGCCCATAGGGTTATGAGACATCGAGGCCCCCACATTTTTCTAGACACTCAGCTCATAGGTGACAGTGAGGTTATCAGCCTTACATGCTGGCTGTCCAGTACCCCCAGGAAGATTCCTGGTACTCTTTTCTGTTAGAGGCTGAGTCAACCCCAAGGCCATAGTGCACCTGGTAGGATTAGGTCAATTGAAAAATCCGGTGCCCCCATCAGGAATCGAACCCATGATTGCTGGCTTACAGCATAGTGCCTCAACCAACTATGCTACTGCATGCCCCATATATTCATAGGTAAAATTCAAATTGAAGTCTTCAAAATTTGACAAGTGTAATTGGACACAGCATTTAGTTTAGGTTTTATGTTCATTACACATTTTAAAATGGAAAAACGAAAACAGACATGGCTTATTTTTAGTAATATGAGGAAGAGAAGTATTAATGTAGTACAGACCTACCAGAAAATTAATACATAATTTAGAAATGTCATATAGTTTGAACATGTATGCATCTTCTTTCTTTTAAATCACTGTTATCTTAGATCATACTGTGGTGGATAGCCGTAGATCTGTGTAAAGACAGAATCCAGTTTCTAATAGTCTGTACTTCATTTCCTCAAAAGGTTTGGGTACTATAGTCCACTCTCCAAAGCAAGTGCACTGTTTGTGCTTTTATCTATTCCATAGGCCTTCTCAAATCCCTTTATTAAAAAAAAAGATGGGAGCTAAAGTTGTTTCTGTGCTTAATTAATTAAATACCACACCATGAGGATGTATCATATCATTTTTAACCTTGCAACTACATGGAGGAAAGTCATCGATTTCCCCCTCTGCCACCTTACCCCTGAGATAACAGCCCCTGATACCCATTGCATAGGAGGCTGGATGGGCCCCCACATCCAGTTTGGACATTAGGGATAAGAGAACAGTTTTTTGCCCTGCTGGGAATGGAACTCTGACTCCTCTGTAGTCCAGCCCATAACCTAGACATACCATCTGAGCTGTCTGGCTCTTAGACAGTGGAAGTAGTCCTTTAAAAAGAAGCTCTGTAACTACACAGACGGTGCCTTCCCCAACCTACCCACATTTCCAACCTTGCATGCTTTGTTACCATAAACATACCACATATTATGTGCAGCCTTACCCAGTTCTGTGGAAACTGTCCCAGATATCAGTAAGTACTTTAGACATGTCCTTGTCTTGTTGTGTCTCCTCGATGTTACTGTAAGGGACTTGTAGGACATAAGCTGCATCATCTCCATGAGAAACACCTATAGGGAACAAACATCAGTCTAGAAACTAGATCATAATCAGCTGCCTTGTGACACTGTGTAGTCTATGTGATCATGAATAGCTTTGTCAGCAGTAGACTTGTATGTGCAATAACTGAACACTATGGATCTGTTATGTAGTGTCATACCAAAATTAATGTTTGTTCCTGACATAACTTCCGATAAACTGTGCTTTCCTCTGTAGCCAAACTGGTAGAAGTAGACAGGTTCGGAGTTGACAGCAGCTTGAAGTCTGGCTGCTCGTTCTGCTTCCACAACAAAATGGCGGTCACCAGTCATCTGGGAATAAATATGTTGGGTTTCAGATTCTCACATAGTGTGTATGGAAAGGTCTTCTGGGATGTGACTCCATGTAGTCTGGTAGGTAGTTATCAGCATTCCAGAGGAACCTGGAGATGAAAGCAGTGGATCCTGCCAAAATGTTGATAAATGTCTACCAGACTGTAGCTGACAGAAGGTGCTGTTGGTCTAGGCTGATGATGTGGATCTACTGGGTGACAATATAGATACCATAAAAAAACGCTATCTTTAATTGACACTAGTAAGGAGGTTCGTCTAAAAGTAAACACAAGAGAAAACTATGTTGCTGTCTCATCACCAAAATGCAGAGCAAAATCATGACCTAAAGGTAGGTAACAGATTATTTGAAAATGTGACACAGTTCAGATATTTGGGAACGACGATAACAAGTCAAAACCTGATTCAAGAGGAAGTTAAGAGGAGATTGAACTTGGATAATGCTTGCTACCATTCGGCCCCAAACCTTTTGTCTTCTTGTTTGCTGTCTAAAAACAAAAATTATAATATGCAAAACTACTGTAGTTTTGAAGAAAGCCATCTTCTGAGATGTGGCGCCGTGTAGAACTTGTGTTAACAGACGTTTCGGAGGAATGTATCGCCTCCATCTTCAGGGTAGAAGACAAGAAGAAATCTGCAAGTGAACCAGCAAGAGCAAGTGCAACAGCTGGTTCACTCGTGGATTTCTTTTTGTCTTCTACCCTGAAGATGGAGGCAATACATTCCTCCGCTCCTTGTCTTATACCGTGAAGATGGAGGCAATACGTTCCTCCAAAACGTTGGTTAACAATTTCTACATGGCATCACATCCCAGAAGACGGCTTTCTTCATAGTCACCGCCATGAAAACCTGAAATCTTACATACTATAGTTTTGTCTGTGGTTCTGTATGGGTGTGAAATTTGGTCTGTGACATGATGGGAGGAACACAGACTGAGGGTGTTTGAGAACAGGGTGTTGAGGAGAATATTTTGACCGAAGAGAGATGAAATGTCAGGAGGTTGGATAAAACTGCATAATGAGGAGCTTTGTAACTCGTACTCTTCTCCAGGTATAAATAGAATGACCAAGTGAAGGATGATGAGATGGGCAGGGCATGTAGCACGAATGGAGGCAAATAGGAATGCATATAGATTATTAGAAAAAAGCCAGAAGGAAAGAGAGCACAAGAAAGACTAAGGCATAGGTGGGTGGCCAATATTAAAATGGATCTTAGAGAGACAGGATGGGATGGTATGGATTGGATTGATCTGGCTCATGATAAGGACAAGTGGAGGGCTCTTGTGAACACGGCAATGAACCTTTGGGTTCCATAAAATGCTGGAAAGTTCTTGAGTAGTTGCACAGTTGGCGGCTTCTCAAGAAGGGCTCAGCTCCATAAGTGAGTTAGTCATGGACTTTATGTAGAGGAACTGAAGAGTACCACGAGAAACCTCAGCCATTATAGCCAATGGCACAGACTAAAAATTTGAACCTCTGAAGTACAAGGCAGGAGCATTGCCACTTCAGCTGGTTGCTTGGCACAATTTGTATTCGTAGTATTTCTTGTTTGTGGTGTTTCCTACGTAACTCACCTGTATTATGTTGCTTGTGGTTTCTGTAGATATTGCTTTACCGTGAAGGTAAAATTGATGAATGCTTTGGGCAACGGCCTGCTTCTGCTCGTCTGCCACTGTGTAGTTGTAATCCAGTATGTGAGGTGCAACCTCTGCAAATCTGGTCTGTAGTTCATTGAGGATCTCTTCACTTGCCACCCAATCTGACAGCAAAATCAGTCACTTAAGAAAGTATATTTACTGCCATTATATTTGTCTCTGTACACAATAAAATTATCATGATGCTGATGTTTAAAAGTATTCTTAAGCAGCTTAAAGGTAAGTCTGTAAGAACATTTTAACCCCCACCCCACCAAGAAAATCCCCAGTGTCCTTGTCCATATTGTATGCTGCCTGAATAAAACTTATTTAGAACATTGGTTCTTCTGTAATGGCAGTGTAATATAACATGTCTGTGTTGTAGAGTGGTACCATAACATGGTCCTTAAATATGCTGTAAACCCTCGGTAATCTGGATTAATGGGGTGAGGTCATACAAATTAATGAAGCAAATGATAGCCCTAAAGGGGGAAAAAAAACTTTGAACACAAATAAATGGAAAATTTAATAATATATATAGTGCTGCTGAAAATAAAGAAATCACTGTAGAGCCTTTATTTAAAAACTATAAAAGACAAGGCCAAAATCCAGGGTCACTTTCATCCAGCTCAAGTCAATTTTAGATATTTTCTTGCATGGTTTCAGAGTCTTCAGCTGTCCTCAGCACCGTTTGAAAGTCCTCTTGCAACTAAATTCCATGTATCTTTTAAAGTATGTACTCAACTGCGAACAGAGTTTGTTATTTTCCATATTTTGATCCAGATTAACTGTAAACGGGGGGCATGCGGTAGCGTAGTTGGTTGAGGCACTATGCTACAAACCAGAAGGTCGCAGGATCAAATCCTGATGAGATGGATTTTTTAATTTACCTAATCCTTCCAGCCTCACTATGGCTCTGGGGTTGACTCAGCCTCTAACAGAAATGAGTACCAGGAATATTCTCGCAGGTAAAGGGTGGCCGGCGCATAAGGCTGACAACCTCACTGCCATCTCTGAGCCGATTGTCTAGAAAATGTGGTACCTCAACATTTCACAACCCTATACGCCTCCATGGCCTGTTACAGGGATACCTTTACATTTACTTCTAACTGTAAGCGGATTGGCAAGGGTTTATTGTACTCATATTTAGCATTCAGATAGTTACTCTGCTCCAGTGGTACATATTGTCGCAACCCAGAATGCAACATTCTAAGTCTTCACAGACATACCTGCTGCAGGGTAGAGCCCTTCTTCTGTCGTAACACTTGTGATCCAGGGTAGATCTTGAACACTGCCATCCAGAAGCATGTCAGTAGGTTGTCTGCTCAAGAACGGAGTAACCCCAGCCACTTCTACCGTAAATCCAAATGGTGAGAAAGGCATGTTCCGCCATTCCTGAGTGAATGAGATGAAACACAATACTTGTATGTAGGATATGAAGTGTTCATGACGAAGGGCTGTGCTCAGAACTTCACGGTTGATCAGCTGTGTCATTGTTTTGCTAAAGACCAACATTTTGGAGATCTTCATTGTCAGGGTTGATATGGGTAATGACTGTACATTGCCGATATACATAGGCAACATATGCATTGAAATGGTTGATTGGTCAAGAAGATTCTAGTGAGAAGTAGTATTTGAATAATATTAATTTCAGAAGAGTAATGTGTTCTGGGACGTGACACTGTGTAGTCTAGTTATTTACCAGCGTTTCAGAGGAATGTGATGCCTCCCATCTTCAGAGTAGAAGAGTGAAGACAGTAATCCTTATAGACATTGCTGTGAGAACCTCGAATCCCATAAATACAGAAACACGAACTGTCAGACTTACCTCCAAGTTAAAGCGTGGCTGCCTGTGTCACAGTTCCACGGGACAGTAATGGTTACAGTTTTGGAATTTTTCAATGCAAGTGGCTGTAAGTGGAAAGGTGAAGGTCCACCTATGCCAGAATACCATAACCCAAAGGTGCCTAGGAGTGTTTGGATTAAGCTCGATTCACTCTAGACCTCAGCATTAGTGTGTGGTCAGCTTTTTATGCTGGGAGCAGAGGAGAAGAAAAGTGAGGGTGTCCTTGGACTGAGTAGCATGGACATTGTCATACAAGCTCCTTTGTTTTCTCCCCTTCAAGTTTTTGTACATCTTTTGGGAAAGGGTAAGTGATCCTTTTTCTACGGTAAATATGCCATGAAGACTATGGAGGAGTGGAGTTATAAGCCCATGCATTCTTAACCTCTGTGCTGTATGGAGGTGAGTGGGTCATCTTCACCTCCCATGGAGTGTGTCCCTGGATAGGAGGAGGCTGGGTGGGCCCCTGGTAGCAGAGAGAAAGCTCCCTCTGTCTGCGGGGAATTGAAACCTGGTCATTCAACCTCTGACTTCACTGACTGAACCATCCTGGCTCATTGCATAATTTTCTGTTGTAAAACACATATACTCTGAAGGCATGTTATACATTGAGTGGAGAACCATAGAGAAGGAAGGTCGTGTATGTTGAACATCATCTGTAGATTGGCGATTTTTATTCTGGTTGAGTGCTGAGTATACGTAGAATCTATAAGTTTGTAATGATGACAGTGATATGCGTCACTGTCTGATGATTTGCTTTGGGAGATTTTTTAAGAAGTTTGTGAGAGATGAAAGACCACACCCTAAAAGGGAATTATGTAAGTTCAAGATTCCACTGGTCCTGAAAAGGATTTACCTGGAAGGTTGCCACTTGTTGAGCAATCATGCTTGCTGGCCGATGTCTCAGGCAGTCCACCATCTCACGTGATGTTTGTATGCTACAGCCCAATTGCTGCGCCAGTTTTGTTGCTTTCCCTCTGCCATTTTCCATCTGTGCCCATGGGTTTAAAGCAGTCCCGCTCTGGGATATCCCTCTTTGGAATAAACCTACAAGCAACCATAGGTTTTATTGGCAATATACATTACAACTCCAAAGTATTCTGTTTCTGTTACTCTGAGAAGTCTCTCTTGTGAGGCTAAGAATTTCACCCCCTTAAGGTAATATGGGGGCCACAATGTATCGTAGTTGGTTGGGGCATTGTTCTACAAGCCAGAAGGTTGCCTGTTTGATTCCTGATGAGGTCATTAGATTTTTCAATTGACCTAATCCTTCCAGCCACAATATGACCCTGGGGACAACTCAGCCTCTGACAGAACTGAGTACCGGGAATCTTCCTGTGAGTAAAGAGTGGCCAGCACGTAAGGCTGACAACCTCACCACCATCTGTGAGCTGATTGTCTAGAAAATGTGAGATCCTCGACATCTCAGAACCCTATGGGCCTCCCTGGCCTGTTACAGGGATAGTATTTTTTAAGGTAATATGTGTTGATGAAACTTTATGGTAATGACTGAGGAAAGGTTGTAAGACAGTGAGTTGTATCACAGTGTCTGAAATGGGCTCAGTTGATTCAGAACAAGAGCATTAAGTGGGAAGACCCAGATTAAGATAGCTGAAAGTTGTAGAGAATGATTTATAAGAGCTTAAAATGAAGAGATTGAGGCCAAAGGCAAATGATGGAGATGTATGGGCATTTGTTGTAAAGGAGGCCAAGGCCCATAGAGGACCACAGAGCCATTGATTGATTAAGTAAGTCTTATGAGATGTGATGCCATATAGTTTTGAGTAGGTAGATAGGCTCACTTTTTGACCCTGAACTTGTGGTGTGCTATACAGCATCACATCTCAGAAGGCAGTACTCTTAAACTGTCCTGCTAGTGCAGTGTTGTGTTGTATCACAGTCTCTCAACTCCTCATATATTAGCACTCAAAGTTCATTGCTGTTCAGAACCTTATGTGACTTTACCGTGAGATAATGGCGACAGATAGTGGTAATGGACACTGACACCTCCTGCAGATTGACCCGTCAACGTTACACTCGCAGGGTTGCCACCAAAGGAAGCAATGTTCCGTTGCACCCAACGCAGAGCTGCAGTTTGATCTTTTAGTCCCATATTACCTGGAACCACTTCATCTTCTGTGCTCAGAAAACCTGTAACAGATTTGAATGGATCTGAAAAACGATGTTTTTGTGGGATGTAGTGTCGTGTACTCTGGTAGATCAGGACCACATTCCTGGTTCTCCCTCTTCCTGTGTCTATGCAATATTTTTCATACTCATCTTACTCTTCTACCCTGAAGATGGAGGCACCAAGCTCCTCAAGAATGTTCATACAACAGTCTATTTCACATCCAGATGTAATCTTGGCAGAATGTAGGTAACAGATTACTGTCTGCTGGAATGTGACATATATCATTGCCAGTCTTGTGGAGGTATTTTCTGCCTCTATTTTCAGGGTAGAAAATGAGCTGAGCCTGCAAAAGAATGTTAAGTTACATGGATGGAGGCCCTTTCTCATATGCTTCTTCACCCCTCCCAATATCTGCTCTCAGTTATTTTTGTGTTATTATACTCGTACTTCACTTAGTAAATTTATTTTATTTTGTTCTTATTAATTTAATTTCTATGTTCCTGCACTTACCTCCACCTTCACTATATCTGTTGCCTCCTTTCATATATCAGAACCACTCTTTTCCCAGACATCTGCTCTCATATTTGTTATATTTTATTCTTATTTACTTCTCTCTGTGATTTTATTTTTCCTTTTTATTTCTACTTCTATTCATCCTCTTTTACCGGCTTCATTTCCTCCTCCTACATTCCCTGTTCCAGTCATATCTTCCCTCTGTATATTTGTCCTCTTACAATGCTCCTGTCTCCTATTGATCCACCTACAACCATAGTTCTGGGCCTCATGATGGGACTGTGAGTAGCAGCGATGGGGGGGATGGTCTCTTTGCAGGCACGATGAAAGCTGTCTGCACCCTCATAATGAATAAAGGGCATGACTTCACTGCATGTGTAGCACACTTTGCACTCCTCATCTCTTCAGACAGTGGCAGTGTCTATGAAGAGTGAAGGTGTCTTGCTGTAATTCGCAATCTGGTTTAGAGCTGAGACCAGGCTAAATGCCAAGCCAACACAGGTCAGCTGAGGGAGCCAGCCGTAAATGCAAACATTGCCATTGTCACTCAGCTTGCTCTTCTAATCAGAAAATTAGGTAACAGGTTCCTCTGAAACGTTAGTGATGATCAACCAGACCATCCCAGACAGCAGTAATCTTTAATACCGTTTGCTTTACTTGTTGACAAATCTTGTGTTTTCTTAGACAGATAAATTGAATTTAAAAGATGTGTGTTGTGGGTATTGCCTAAGTTGGGGGATATTTGTATTGAAGAGGGAAGTTGTATTATCTTACCTAGTGGTCCAAGTCTATAGTTGAAAGTTACCAAAATTACATCTCCATCTAGCAGGTATTTTGGACCATATTTACTGCCTGCGCCATATGAGAAGCCCCCTCCATGAATATTGACAATCACGTCCAGCAGTGGAGCACCACCTCCTGCCGGTAGCTAGAGCAGAATGTACGTAGTTTTGCATCAGTCCAGCACCAAAAGGAGGTCTATATATAAATGTGCATGCACATACACACAAATTAGTATGCCTGAAAAACAGTAAAGCTGTCCCTGTAACAGGCTATGGAGGCCCATAGGGTTGTGAGATATTGAGGCTCCCACATTTTCTAGACAGCTCACAGATGGTGTTGAGGTTGTTAGCCTTACGCATTGGGTGCCCTTAACCCCTCAGGATTCCTGGTACTCATTTCTGTTAAGAGTCTGAATCAACCCTGGAAGGGGGGGGGGGCATAGCTCAGCTGGAAGGATTAGGTCAATTGAAAAATCCAGTGACTTCATACGGAATCAAACCCTTGACCTTCTGGCTTGTACCATAGTGCCTAAACCAGCTATGCTACCACATGCCCCAAAATTAGATTGCTTAAAATTAAAAATTATGAAGTCCTATTACCTCTCCAAGAGTAAATAAATAATTGAAAGACAAGCTAATCACATTGGCCACACACTGTCATAATCCACACAAACAGTGGGGTGCTTTGTTCAACTTCTGCTTGGGGCATGCATGTATGTTCTTGTTACAGGCTGATTCCATGTCCAAAGAGCCCTACAAATTGTGTGTGCTTTACAATTCAAGACGTTTATTCTGTGTTCGAGCAGGTCAGAGAGCCTAATCCGTAAGCTGAAGGAGAATTCAGAGGTGTGGGAAGTAATTGCCATCAAGCCGAATATATTAACATGTCATATTTGCACCCTTCTTGCACAAGGAGCATGGGATGACTGGATATGTCATATGCATTATACCAGAAATACATATAAAAATACTGGTCTGAAAGTCTGTATAGAAGAGATCATTTATAGAGACCAAGGTGTAGATTGGCCAATACTGTTACAGTAAATCTTAAGTAGGGTATAAGGGTGTGGCCTGGATTGAAGTGGCTCACTGTAGAGTCCGTTGATGGGCTGTTGTGAATACAATAATGAGCCTTTTGGGTCCTTTAATGACAGAATTTTTTTTAATTAACTGAACAGCTTTTAGTTTCATAAGTTTCTTGCTACATGATGTTGGACTGTCCTCTGAAAGATGAGATGGCTTCTTTACCACATGCCAAGCACTGTATTTAGCGTGCTTTCTGATGGCCTTTCTAGTACCTAATATATTGTGGCATATTGGCTCTATGCAGGAACTGTTGAGCCACAGAAGCCTCGGGGCATGCGCGCAACGTGAGAGTTGCGGATTGTATCAGCGCATTGCTAGGCGACAACTCTGTGAACACTTGGATTGCGCAACAGGAAGTGTGAGTGGTGTCACATACCCCATTCATCCCGTAACTACGCAACGCTCGGTAAACACCCCTCCCCCCTAGGCTGTAATGTCGCGCAACTGGGGAGTCTGTGCAGAGACTATTGCTAGGCAATCGGTAAACATGATGTCATGCAACAGTGGTAGCTATCACGTAACTGTTTTCTGTGTTGTCAGTGCGGAAGCTACATAATGAGGAGTATTCATCAGTGTAGAACGAGAGAGAGAGTTACTAGTATCCAGTATAATTTGAAGTCTTCAGACAGTCTTCGTTGAAGAAAGTAGGAGCTCAGCATTCGCTGAGAGATAGTTGAACAGCAATTGAAATACTGGATTGTATAATTGTGAATTGTGTAAGTGTAAGAGTGAATGTGGAATAAATTCGTTAGATCCAAAATGGCATGAAGTTATTTGTTGTGTGACATACCCAACACGTGACAATTTGGTGTCAGTTCCTGCATAGAGCCAATACGCCACAATATCTTAACATTTATCTTTAACCTGGCATATATGGTGGAGTTGGTGAGGTAGTGATATGGTGAGGGACTGGCTGAATATAATGAAATCATCTTGGAATATTAAGTATGCCATTTGGTTAGAAGTGACCAACATTTTAGGGATGATCTCAGAATGTGATGATGGGGACAGAGATGGCCCCTGATATGTCAGTCATTTTTAACCAAGTGACATGGATGGTACATACGGAAGATTATATTAACTTAGCCAGCATGAACGCTTCAGAATGTTACTGGGAACCAATATCATTAAAATTAAGTAATAATGGAAATTGTATAGAGAAGTTTCTGAAGAATTGTTTAGGCTGTGTACCCAAATCACTGTCTGATGTAAATTACCTTTCCTTCTGTTTAATTTTTGGAAGTTCAGGTGACTCAGGCAGTATGGTAGTGATCATATGGTAGTTTTACTCAGTCCCTCTAGGCAAGTACTGGGATAATACCTTGATTAGGCCATGACTGTTCCCTTCCAGACCCTTTCAAATTTATGAGTCACCCCACCATTCAGCATTATATAGGCTAGCCACTGTCTGTCTATACTCCATGTATCTATCTGTCCATGTCTCTAAAGTCCTATTTGTTGAACCTTGGCTTCTTTTTCAGTTTCTTAATCCTATACGCAGATGGTAGGACTCCTTGGATGGGGGATCAGCCAGTCGCAAGGCTGCTACCTACACACAGCACAACACAAACACAGAATAAATGCAAACAAACATCCATGCCTTGGGTGTGATTCGAACCCATTACTCCACCATTCAAGCAAGCAAAGACAGTTCATTCCTTAGAATGTGCGGCCACTGTGATCAGCAAGCTAGGCACTAACAGTTGTAAAATAGCTCACAGTACACCCGCATGCAGTATTGAGAAAATGGAAGCATGTGCAGCACATACCATAGGTGAATACACATTAAGATATAGGCAGTCCTCATCTCCTTGAAGGCTTGCCTGTGTTGAGGTTCCTGCCTGGGTAAGTGGATCATATTGTAGACACTTGCTGCCTGGTGTGATGGCTGGCCATACACCTCTCCATGGTTTCATGGGTGCTGGGTCCTTAACAGAATTGAAGTTTTGTTATTAATTCAGTAATTGCTTTTTATGATGGTAATTATAATCAAGTCTGCCACAACCTTAAACGCTGCTGCAGGCAATGAAAAGTTATTCCCCCTTCCCCAGTTAAAACTACTTCTAATTTCTCAAAACATTGCCACAGCTAATAACATGAAACTACCAGACATTGGGGCGGATACTGTCACGGGTGTCAGTTCCTAAAATAATAGTCACAGTAATAAAAAAGTAATAAGTAATAAAAAATATAGTCTCTTCCAGTCACAGCAGTTGCAGGCTTGACAACCTGACAGTTTCATCATTTGAATTTCAATCTCATACTTGCTTATACACAGGTGCTAGACTAGAAATGATTAAATCATTTGCCTGAAACAAAAAAGGAGGGGGGGGGGTTGTAAATGGATAAAGTGAATTGTATTGAATTGCATATTTTTCAGTGAAAATTAAAGGCAGTGTGAAATGTGTAGTTGTGTTACCACTGATGGGATTGCAACTATCATGTAAGTTGGGGGATATGTGTACATACATGTCCAGATATCTGGTGGCACACAATTTTTAACCTACTTTCCTTATTTTAAAAAACTAAAAAAGGAGTCTTTGTGAGATTACTTTGCTGTCTATATGGCTGTGTGTCTGTGCCCAATACCTGAAAGCTGGAATAGTGGAGCCAGGAGAGACAGCTGTTGCTAGCTAAAGGCTCAGTAAACATGTTCCCGCAGCAACAAATACACACATAACAATGGAAGAACTGCTGGATGCAGAGTTTTCGGAGCAGTCTGTATTGTATCAGATAATATATAGTGAAAGGAAATTAGGGGATTAGTTATTCCTAGAACTTCTATATAACCTTTTCTGGTTATTGTTTGATTTAGGTCAGGTCCACTGTCTGTACACACACACACACACACACACACACACACACACACACACACCTTGAATCGGTGTTTTCCTGTAGGCGGTCTTGCATATGGTATTCCTTGAAATGCAGAAAATATTCTTCCACCAGCAGATGTTTGGTGTGTGCCACGTAGTGCTCCTTGTTCTACATGAACTAGAGGTCCCACTTGGGGTGGGACAGCCCCAGAAACTAGCACTGCTGTTACCAGTAGTAACCCTTGCCCCAACATGTTCTATGCAATTTCACTCTGCAAATGAACTAACGTCTTTGAGTTCTCTCATATCGGTGCAGAAACTTTGTAACTTAGAACTTTGTGTTGTTTGGTTGTAATGTTGATACGTGTTCTATTGGTATTAGTTATCTGGTATCTCTTAGAGGGATGACAGTTCTTGTAAACTTGAGTTTTATTTATTGTCTATTGTTCTGTGTTCTTATCATCTGGGTTTTATTTAATGTTGAATGTCACTTGATTGTGATGAAGGTTTCTTATTTCTAGTGAAACTGTGTTATAGTCCTCTGTTCCATTTCTCTGCTTTTAGTGTTAGAATTGTTTAAAAGAACACTTATCCAGATTGTTTGTGTGTTCTGTTCTGATATTGATTTGACCCTTGGATCTTTGCACCATGTGAGTGTGGGCAGTGTTGCCAGCTTTGAAGGTACTTGCCACTTCCATATTTAGGGTCAAAGTGAGTGTTGAAGAATCATTCACTGCACACTCTTTGACCCTGAAGGTGGAGGCACCATATACCAACGAAACATTGGTAACACTGCCTACACTCACATGGTGCAAAGACCCAAGAGCGGAATCGTCATCAAAAATGAACATCTTGAAAGCCTAAGATCGCTATTCCATTTTGTATAGGCTGTTATGAATCGAGGTCGTCACATCTGTTCCAAGAAAGGAATGACACTAATATAACGCCTGGACAGTTAAGCTTTTCTCTGTTTTGAAGTTTTATGTACCTTGAAAAAAAAAGGTCATTTTTTATGCCTGTCTATTTGGATTTTGCCCATCATTTGAGGTTTGTAATATCAAAGTCACAGAGCTTTTGAAATGGGAGGTTATTTTTTTTATTCTTCAGGTGGAGAGGGTATAAATAAGTTGCTACTCTTGTAGCCCCTAATTTCAACTAATCTGACCCTCAACATAGATTTAGTTGCAATAGCACAAACCCAGTACTTCTTACATTTTCTTCAGTTTAAACTGTGTATCTTTAGGTTGTCACATTATGTGTTAAAATGCTTTTTTTTTCACAAAAGCATTGCACAAAATAATTATAGTGTTATGTTTATAAAATCTATATTCATTATTATGAAAATTTAAATGTCTGTGGTTTGGCTTATGAAATAGAATTCCCATAGTGTGCATTTACTTTAAAATTAAGTTTACAATGAAGAGAAGTATTTTATGGCATATGACTCTGCATAATCCAGTAAAATTTCACTGACGTTTCAGAGGAATATACTGCCACCATCTTCAGGATCAAAGAATAAGCCAAGCATGTAGCAAGTGAGAAGCAGACAGTAGGTAAAAGTTTCTAGTTGACTACACAGCATTATGTCCTAGAAGATGGTCCCTGCTTTGAGAACCTCATCCAATATAAAGAAGCTTACAGTTTCTCTTAAACTGCCAATTGGACTGAATTTGGACTTCAAAGAAAGTTCACACTTCTCTATTATGTTTAGTTAGCAGTAATTTTTTAAACAGAAACTAATTTAAGGTTATTGGGAATTGATGTGGGTAGCCAACTTCCCTATCCTGAAGATGGACCCAGCAGATTCCTGCAAAATGTTGCTACATATCTACCAGACTATGCAGTGTTGTGTTTCAGAAGACTGTAATCTTAATATCCAGTACCATGAGAGCTCCAATGGTAATTTGGGGGGGGGGAACATACATTTTCTTGGAAATTGATTAAATTTCAGCGTCTTATGGGTCCACAGGCATGCAGTGAACATGTAGAAACTGCTTCACTCATTTAGGAATCTGATATTGTTTTTGTCATGTCTTTAAGGCATTTAAATTATGAGATGGCACAGTGCAAATATAATGAGTTGTTTACATTACAGATGCTGTTGTCAGCTTTTCAAGAACATAAACAAGTATGGTGCAGTTTTGAGACATAAATATAATTAGATTTCTCTCTGCTACCTACTTTCACATTCCTTTATAATTAAACTGAAAATTGGTAAATTGGTCACATAATTTGGCCTAAGAAAGTATATTGTATTCCGGGCTTCTCACACAATTGCCTATGAAAATTACTTCCTTAAGTAATGTGACACCTTATAGTCTGGTAGAAGTTCACCAACGTTCTTGATGAAAGGACTGTGTCCATCTTCAGGGTTTAAGAGTAAGCCAAGTAAGTGATCACTAAGATGTGTACAGGATTCAGAGTTGCTTAGTGATCTGTGAATCTTAAAGCAACGAAGTTTGCACTTAGGACCCTGTTAATTATATAGATTATGTACTCCTGTTCATTACAAACTCAGTGGAGCAGTGCCCTCTTGAGAAGCTAATAGTTGCTCAGCTATCAAGAAATTACTTGGCTCTTATGGATCCTCAAGGTTTGCTCCGAAACGTAAACTTCTACCAGTTTACACAGTTTCACATTGAAGAACACAGTACTTTTCATAGTTCCAGCTGTGAGAACTTCACACCCAGCAAAATCTGGTTTGCATTTCTCTTCGTTGCAGTAAGCAACATGCATTTCACTTAAGCCATGTGTTGCTGTTGTGTATTTTGCTTGTATAATAACAGGTGATTCAGAATTTACTGTTTTGCTCTGTTTTGTTTACATGCTATATTTACCTTCTTGTATAGAGGTTTGAATTGTCAACACATGCAACTTTTGATGTATGTAGTGAAATAATATGATAAGAAATTTCACAAAATTGGTTATGAGGTTCTGTAGTCCATGGAAATAACATGAAAAGCTGTTATGTTATTTTTAATTTTATCAGAGAAGTGCCTAGCCAAAATTTTCAAATTCAAATGCTGAATGGCTGACATTAATCAGCACCAGTGTAACTTGCACCTGAAAAATTACGTTATCTGACATGTCCATGTTGATGGTGTGATGCCTGGTGGCATTTCTTTTATATTGAAGTGACTGGACATGAAGATGGGTCATTGAAAATACTTGATGGTGGTCCTTTTTTCTGTCTCCACTGATCAGACATAACATTAATTTGAGCATCTGATTGGTTATTTTTCTCATAGGGTTGATTTTTATTGCTGGAAAATGAAAATTTTATATACACTATAAAAATCTTCATGTTAATTAATATGAATTATTAACTGCATGTATGATGTGTGTAATCTGTTCTTCATGCAGTAGTGCCTGCAGCTCATAAACTAAGTAATGACAGTAATCTGTGCAATAAAATTGTTATGATGCTGCCTGAGATGACAGTGCACCAGTAGAGCACTGCATGTGCTAGTTGCAGGTAGTACTAATTCTGCCTGTAGGTGGATTTGTTTCTGATGTCAGCAGTCATTTTCATGAAAAATGCTTATTTAGAAGAGGTTCTTGAAACCTGTTATTTTTTCAGTGTGGTAACAATGTTGAACATAATTGAATTATCAGTACCTGGAGTATGGCATAAAAATTATTTTTGTATGGTTAACCTTACTAAACAGTAGTAGTTCCTCCATTCTCCAGTTAAGTCCCTGTAGACATTTGTGATGGCGTGTTTGGTAACCTTGCTTATTTCCTATACTGGCAGCTTCCTCTTTACTGATTCTACAGCACTATTTCAGTCTTGGCCTCCTCCACGGTCCTTTTCCATAGGCTCTGGAGGTTTTGTAACAGTACATTTCTCCAAGGTGTGGTTATTAGCCCCATGGGCAACCCCCATCCTGGAGGACCAGGGACTACACTTCATCTAACCCCCACCGTTTGACCTGTGGCCATAGCAGGATCTTACTGTCCACCAGCATATTTCATCATGTCATTTGGTCATTTATCTCGACAATCAGGCACTAGTCCTTGAGGAGGATACTGACAGCAGACAGTGCTCCCCATGAGCTGGGGCTGTCTGCTAATTTGTGGTTCTGGGATAACTCAGTTGATGTGACTAGACTATGGGTGGGACAATCAAGCAGCTGGAGTGTAACTCCTGTTAGGGACAAGATATTTTTCTGCTACAGCATCTAGACCATCTCTAGGGCCCACCTAGTTCTCTATCCAGTAGGTACTGGGGCTCTTTCCCAGCAGTGAAGCTCACCACTTCTCTCTAGAAAATGAAAGGTAAAGCTATCCCTGTAACAGGCCATGGAGGCCCATAGGGTTGTGAGATGTCGAAGGCTCCTACATTTTCTAGACAATTGGCTCACAGATGGCAGTGAGATTGTCAACCTTAAACTTTGGCCAACTGCCCTTTACCCCCAGGAAGGTTCCTGGTACTCATTTCTGTTAGAGGCTGAGTCGACTCCAAGGCCATAGTGCAGCTGGAAGGATTAGGTCAACTGAAAAATCCAGTGATGTCTGGAATCAAACCAGAAATCTTCCATCTTGTAGCACAGTGCCTCAAGCGACTGTGCTATTGTGTGCCTCCTCTTTAGTACAGAGGTTAAGTATGTGTGTAGCTATGCCTACATTCCCCACATCCCCATATGCCACAGCACTGTGCTTAATTAAGCACAGGGATATCTGTATCTTTACTTCGTATTTAATGGCATTAGCATAGACTACATGCCATCAGTTGGTGGGATGGTCATGGAATGTGAGTTATAAATGATACAGAAGGAAGTGTGCCTGTGGCTTAGTTTGAGGTACTGTCCTGGCATTGCTTGAAAGGGCCGAGGAAGACCATGAAAAATCTCAGTCAGAATGGCCAAAGTTCCAGCTGGGATTTAAACCAGGCAATACCTGAAAACATGTGAGAAGCATTACCACTTGAGCCACGGTGTGCTTGTGCCATGTACATGTGCAAGATGCGAGGGTTGGAACTTTAATAGTGGCAATGGCATCATTACAGGTCACCACGAAAATCAAAAGCTCGTCAGAATCCCAGCAGTGTGAAAGTTATGGTGATTCTCGTGTACACCTGTGATGGTCTTATCCTAACACATACCGTTCCCCGACAGCAGACCGTCTGTGTGCAGTATTACTGTTCATTTTTGGAACACAACCTGCGACCAGCTTGGAGAAAGAAGCGGCGACACTTTTTGCAGAACCCACCCATCATTTTGCAGGACAATGCTCGGCCGCATGCAGCGCAAGCTGTGGCTGATTTGTTCGATCAATGGGGTTGGGAAGTGCTGTACGATCCACCATACTCCTTGGACTTAAGCCCTTGTGACTTCCACTAGATTCCTAAGATGAAGGAACCACTTTGTGGCATTCGCGTCAGAACTGTTCCAGAGATTCTTCAGGCAGTAGACCGCTCCATTCGAACTATCAACACAACAGGCGCTGCTAAAGGTATCCTACGACTTCCACATCGCTGGCAACAGGTTGTACACAATGCTGGTGACTACATTGAAGGACAGTAAAACTTCGAAACATGCATCTATTTTGTATCAGTTGTAAATAAGTAGTTGCCACTATTAAAATTCCAACCCTCGTACACGTGTAGTTGTCTGAAATCAGCTTGTTTTCAAGAGTCTTATCTTCTGGGATATAAACTGTGTACTCCACTGAAAGTTAGCCAGTGTTTTGGAGAAGTATGTCTCATCTGTCTTCAGGATTGAAAGTTAACGCAAGCAGGAAACCAGCATGAAAGCAGGCTGCAAGCAGAGCCAAAGTAAAACCTTGGCTTATTCTTTGACCCTAAAGATGGAGGTGACATGTTCCTCTAAAACGTTGGTGACTTTTAGCAGACTACAGTTTGTCATATTGCAGAAGATAGAACTCTTCATAACCACTGCTGTGAGAATGTCAAATCTTACGTAGCCTTGTTGTGTTTATTTTTTCAGGCATTGTCCAAGGAGCATGCTGTTATTGAAATTATTGATGAAGATAATCATCTAATTTATGATCTTGGCAGCCGAAACAAGACGCGCCTTGGCAAGGTACATTTTTTCCCTTTTAAGATAGTTTTCCTATGAGTTTGCATGTGGAATGACTCTGACATATCATGTGAGTATAGGAGTGTCTTACATCTCCACACTTGGATGAAAATGAAATAATACACTTTTGTGATTCTTTGTATTACATTACTTGCTCTCCACATACTTTCATAGGTTTGCTGTATGTGCAGGTATGAGATTTCATAAGGTGTTTTGTTCTAAGTCACATTTAAACTGTGACCAGTTCCCTAACATCAAACACAGTCTTCCAAAAATTGGTGTTGAGAGACATAGTACACACCAGTACTCGGGTGACAATGTGTGTTATAGATGCAGTGTAAGACATAAGATTCAAGGTGATTCTTTAAAGGAGTTCTGTTTTGTGGGATATTATTTTTTTTATTGCTATTGGGGTAGGACTAAGTCCCTTGTACTGCGGCCACTTCTGGCCTATTGTACCAGCCCCAGATGATAGGTGAGGGTGACTGTGGAGCAGTTGGTGGAATGAAGATTGGCAGGGGAAACCGAAGTACTCGGAGAAAACCTGCCCCAGTGCCACTTTGTCCACCACAAATCCCACTTGACCAGACCCAGGATCGAACCTGGGCCGCCGTGGTGGGAAGCCACCGACTAACCGCTTCAGCTATGGTGCGGCCCTATTGTGGGATATAATGCCACGTAGTCCAGTCAACTGACATTTTGGAGGAATATATCATCTCCACCGTCAGGATTAAAAAGTAAGCCAAGCAAGAAACCAGCATGAAGCAGGCAGTATCTCAGATGGTAGAACTCTTCATAGTCACTGCTGTTAGATTCTCAGATCCAACAATATGGCTCTTTAGATCTCAGTCTTGTGGGATGTGATGCTGTGTAATTTTGAGGAACCTGGTTTGTGTGTAACAAACTATATGACATCATCTTCAAGCAGTGTATCCTGTTGTGTTAACTTGTACTTTGTTCTTGTTTTTTCCATCTCAGCACAACAATTAACAAAGCAATTACCCAAATCTCATTCACATTTACTATGTATAATGAGTTTATTGGTCCTAGTGGCATGACAGTGTGCTACATGTTCCAGCCTATAAAGCCATTATCAGGCAGTGTACACTAACAATAGTTCTGAAGATACTTAATTTCATCTTTAGTCACACTTAATTGATGACAGTATGATTCTACAGTAGAACTCAGTTATTATGTGATGGTACAAATATCATATTTTGAAAACCATGGTGACCTCAGATCTCATGCACAGTGGAGTCACCATTTAATGTTCTTCATTTTTCCCCATTTAATGCTCAGTTTCATTGATCTCAGGCCAATAATTTCAGCATTAAATTACCTGCATTTCAGAATATCCTGAGTTTAGTGTTCAGATACACTGCTCCTTCTTCCATGGGAGTTTTGCTTATCAACTGTTAACATTGGTTTTGAAGATTGCTGTCTTCTGGGGCGTGACACTGTGTAGTGGTAATTGAGGTTTTCCGTGAAAATGGAAGCAGCATATTCATCCAAAAGATCCACCTGACTGCATGTCATCACATCCCTGTAGTCACTGCCATGAAACCTCAAATCTCACAACATTTGTTCTTTTCACAGATGATACTACAACCTCATGTTCGTTACCAGCTGCCAGATGGTGCCAAACTACACCTAGCAGATGTCTCAGCTGTATATCAGAGACTCTCTGATAATGTGGAAGGGGACAGTGATAGTGGTTCTGAAACAGGATCTGAATCTATGCTTACTGTCAACAATTCAGTGGTCGAAGGTGAACCTTTCAGCATTTCTGGGTGGATTAATGTGATATTCAAATACAGAGGATTTATGTATGCTTAAACAGTGTGAACTGGTTTGTACTTTTTGTTGCATTTGTAGGATGTACAGTATTCTGAGAGGATGAATGAAAAAGGTAGCCAATGTTAGGCAACGGCTGGGTAAACATGTGACAGTACCTGGCCCATTGCTAGGTTATGGCTGCCATAACACTTAGGGACATTGTTGGAGGTGGTGGTTTCTGTAAAGAGGTTGCTGTGAGACAGTGAATATGGAAGCTGAGGTATCTACAGTCTTGGGAGCCTTTGCCAGGAAAGGGGGTTTCCACTCAGGTGGACTGAGCCTACTTGTCCTTTGAGAGTTGGCCTTTTGTCACCCAGTCATTTGTGGCATAGAAGAAATGGCAGTAGAAAATCATAATAATCCACGTTTCTTTTAAATTCAAGACTTGCCATTATTTTGTGCCAGGCAAGCTGATGTTTAACACTTCAATGACGCAGGACATTTAATTCATACTCACTCCTTGGGATGAAGGGTATCAAAACATTTAAAACAGTAAATGCAACATTTCACTTAAAGTGTAATAAATTGGGAAAAACTGGAGTTTTGTTTTTGTAATTTTCACACTACGTTCAGAAATATATAGGATTGGTGTATTGATCCAAGCTGTTTTAAAAATATTTTTTTGGCACAGTACACCTATAAAAATTAGGAATACACACACACACACACATATATATATATATATATTATCTTAGAAATTCAGCTGGGTAAATTAGTCTTGAAAACATTCCACACAGAGTCCCATGTCACACATGTCATACCAGCACACAGTTTTTGACACACAGCATGCCGTTTCTGTGGTTTTGATTTCTTCACAATTGGTGGAATCTTGCTTATAAAATTTCTTTCTCTCAGACGGGGAGTGTTTTGTGTGACGAATGTCGACCTGGCACTTTATGTTCTACAGCATTAGCATATTTCACAGAGAGTCCCTCAATTGTAAGATTTGAGGCTTTCACGGCGGTGACTATGAAGAAAGCAGTCTTCTGGGATTTGGCACCGTGTATATGTGGTGTTAACCGACGTTTCGGAGGAACGTATCGCCTCCATCTTCAGGGTAGAAGAAAAAATATAAGAAATCTGCAAGCTAAAAGACCGTGAGAACCGGTAAAAGCAGACAGTCTGCTTTTAACACCACATATACACGGTGCCAAATCCCAGAATACTGCTTTCTTCACAGTCCCTCAGTTAACTGAATTCTGATTGGCAATTGATCCATTCATTTCCTGGTGTTATTCCTACATATTATCATCGCATTCAGAAATTTTCTTTTTGTCCCTTATAGTTTTGCATATTCTCCCAATGGATGTTTGTGTTATTCTTGATTCTCTTATTTACCACAGAATCAAGAAAAGCAGAAACATCTATTCTCAGTGTCTAATTCCGAATCTGGCAAAACTTTTTCTCATTCAGTTTGAAGTAAATATATTCTCCACTGGTCATAACACAACACAGCTGGTCACTTCGGTGCTCGTAACTGGCCTTGGCAGCTAAAACCAGACTGCACGGTGTGTATTTAAAGAACAAAGGGGAATTACAGTAGTACCATTCATATACTGAACTGTTTATGGATTGCTACATGGCAGTCATAACACACTTCTTAGAGTCAACATGATGTCTCAAAGTCATAGATTGTCCATATGTTTTCTCATGGGTACAAATTCCAATCTAGAAGCAGCACTGGTCAGAATATGCCTCAAGAGAATCGACTTTTCATTCGGCCAGCATACAGGACAGCACACAGTATTGATCTGACATATTTAGTTCCTGAGAATTCCCCAAAGCAGGGGTAGGTTTTTATGGTAACAAGCATACCAAGTGTTGAAGTAGAAAACTTTTTCAGAGAATTCAAATGTGTTACAACTCCCGCAAGAAGTTAAAAGTGGGAGAATGAATATACAAAATGATAGCCTGAAATTTCCTCTTTAATTTCATACCAAAAGAATTGCCTTACATGAAAAACAACGATTCAAAATACGAGCCGAAACTTAGTGCTGGACGTGTGCCAGGTACAGATTTTGGCAACATGTGACAGAAGCCACTGGCATGCCATGCGCGAACTACAGCACTGAAGGGTTGATGCCAGTTGTCAGTGTGAGCCACAGCGTTCTGACGGGAAATGTTGATTCACCATTTTCTGACAGCTGAAGTATGTTGTTGGCTGCAAGATATTCTAAAGCTTTTTGACCCCTGTACATGAGATTTAAATTTTTGTGTGATTAAATGGATTTATTTTCTTATTTCAGATACAGTCATAGTTCCAGAAACACCAGCTCTGTCTTGTGCAAAACAGAAAAGTGTTGTCGCTGTTGCAGAATCACCATGCTCTTCATCAGATATAGACAGTTCTTTTGGTTTCACCAAAACGAGCAAATCGGATATGTTGAGAAATGATAACATAGGAGGAGTGCTGATAGGAAGGGCAGAGGAATCAAAGGATCATCCAGAAGTAAAACAGGCCACTGATGATGACAATATGTCTGAAGCTGAGACTCAGTGTGATGTGGACTGTTTGGGTGTGAATAAGTTACATGTGGGCAGTGTGTCTCATGGAGACAAGATTTGTGCAAGTGCACCAAATGAGGAAGAAGATATATTTGAAGCAGAGACACAGTGTGAGGAATCCTCTTTGACAGTTCCAGTTAAATCATTCGGTGCAAGTGATCCAAAGAAAGAAGATTTCACTCTAAGACCAGACACTGACATTCCCAATAAAGAAATCAAAGTTGATGTAGTAAGTAAAGTGAAAGTAGTTCCAAAAAGCATCATTTTGATTAAACAAGAAAATGTCAAAGTCCGTAATGTTAATAGGCAGCATACAACAGATCATCAGGCTGCTAAGCACATGGATAATTCATGCAGGAAACATGATGATGAACTTTACAATGCTCCTGCACCGTGCTTACTAGGAGAAAGAGATGAAACATCGTTGATGGATAAAACAGATGCAGTTAGTGTCTGTAGTGAGCGAACTGAGGAATACGTATATGATGATGCTAGTCTGAGCTCTCATGAGGATGCTGATAATAGAAAGTCGGTACAAGAAAAGGCAGACAATAAAGACTTAGAGAACTTAACACAAAGGAAAGCAGTTTGTTTTGAAAGTCAGATGGCTCAAGTGTCTTTATCAGACCAAGATGGCCAACAAACAGAACAACCAGCTAGAGCGAGGGAGAGAAAAAGTTCTGCAGACACAAAAGTTTCACTCAATGTTAGTTACAATGAAGATAGCTTTGATCGTTCTATGTTAGATGGAGATGATGATTTGTTTGCTTTTCAAGTAACACAGATAAGTGACCCTAAAGAGGGAGCTTTTAAAACTAATAAAATGACTGAACAATTTAATGAAGTACATCAGGAAAATAAGAGTAAATCAAATATCACAAATTGTGATGACCCCCAAACTGCTTTAGTAAGTTTGTCAAAACAATTCACAGTTAAGCAACTTAAATCTGAGAAGATGCTTTCAGCAAGCAAGGCGTCTGAAAAATGTATATCAGATAAATCAGAATCATATCAAGCCCAGAATGGTTCAGTGAATATATCAGAAATATTTCAGGTGAAAACAAAAGATACTGTGAAATGTGCAACAGCTGGTAATAAGGAAACTGCAAAACTGTCTAATGATTCTGGGGACGAAATGGATGCAGACAGTACTGTAGAGGTTGCCATTGAAAATCAGGAACAACTGCATGGCAGTAAAAAAGATTTAAGACTCTCTCTACAGCTGTGTCATGATTCTGGATATGAGAAAGATTCAGAAGCCAAGAGTCAAATTATTTTACCTCCAGTAAGCAATAGCAAAACTATTTCAAAACTCTCTGGACCATCTTCAAGGAAAGATTCTTCTGAAACATCAATTTCCATTAACAGTGAAAATATAAAAACAAAGACACAGTCACCCACTCATCCAGGAAATGCTGCAACTCAAGACAGAAATATTGAAAAACAAAATAAAGTCATAGACTATGAAAATAAGATTAATAGAGAATTGGAAGAATATCAGGATTCTTCAAAGCAAGACGTATCCCTCACAGTTACCAACAAACCAGCAGTCATTTGTTCCGAGAAAGAAAAAGCGCAGACACAGTTATCCGTTGAATGTAAAGATGATAATGATAGTGATGATGAAGTCTTTATGGCTCCAACTCAATTATTATTTCCTGCAAATAGAAACAGAGACTTTAGAAAGCCTCCTGCAGCTTCAAGAAAAAAGACAACAGACATAACAGCAGTCAGCAGCAGCAACAGTGTGAAGGTACCTGCACAGTTAAACTCTGCTTTTGCAGATAATGACCATGGTGATGATGACAGCATTTCTGAAGCGGCGACTCAAATTGTGGAATCTGCAAATAAAGGTAGTGGGGATTTTACTAAATCCCTCACTCTATCTCCAGTTGAAGAAAAGCTAAATGCAGACCACTTTGATGATGATGATGATGACAATATTTATGAAGCTGCGACTCAAATTGTGGGGACTCCAAATAATAGTGGTAAAGATTTTACTAAACCCCTCACTTCTTCCCCAGTAGAAGACAAAACAGATGCAGAGCATGATAATGATGACTTTATTTTTGAAGCTGAAACTCAAATCATGGAAACTGCAAACAGAAGTAGTAAAGATTCAAGTGAACCCTTAGCTCCTTCCCCAGTTGATGAGAAGCTAAGTGCAGACCATGATGCTGATGATAATATTTATGAAGCATCGACTCAAATTGTGGAAGCTCCAAATAAAAGTAGTAAAGATTCAAGTGAACCCTTAGCTCCTTCCCCAGTTGATGAGAAGCTAAGTGCAGACCATGATGCTGATGATAATATTTATGAAGCATCAACTCAAATTGTGGAAACTCCAAATAAAAGTAGTAGAGATTCTACTGAACCCTTAGCTCCTTTCCCAGTTGATGAGAAGCTAAATGCAGACCATGATGTTGATGATAATATTTATGAAGCAGCAACTCAAATTGTGGAAACTCCAAATAAAAGTAGTAAAGATTTTACTAAACCCTTCACTTCCACATCAGCAGAAGAGAAGACAGATGCGGAGCATGGTAATGATGACTTTATTTTTGAAGCTGAGACTCAAATAATGGAAACTCCAAATAGAAGTAGTGAAGATTCAACTGAACCCTTAGCTCCTTCCCCAGTTGATGTGAAGCTAAATGCAGACCATGATGTTGATGATAATATTTATGAAGCAGCAACTCAAATTGTGGAAACTCCAAATAAAAGTAGTAAAGATTTTACTAAACCCTTCACTTCCTCATCAGCAGAAGACAAGACAGATGCAGAGCTTGATGACAGTGACAGTATTTTTGAAGCAGCGACTCAAATTGCGGAAAATGCCATCAAAAATAATTTTACAGAGACTTCTAAACATTCCTCAGGCAGCAATACAGCAGATATACAGGCAATCATGGATGATCGTGAAGTTAAAAAGTTACATAGTTCAACTGGAACTGTAGATGAAGATAATTTTGAATATCCCATAGATCCATGTGATAATGCTGACATAGATAATATCTGCAGTGGTTCAGCACAAAACGTAAATTTTCCTGAAAACAAAATCACTGAACTTCAGGAAAGAGAGAGATCAGCATCAAGAGGATCATGTAGTGTAATGCCAAAGGCCAAAGGGTATTATGTAAACAAATCCAAAGCAGTAGAATTAAACCAAAATTTTCCAATACAAGACAATAAGAACACTGCTTTGATAACACCAAAAGTGCATTTTGGTGAAATCGCCAGAACTGAAAGAGATGCTATGTCAAGTGATGATGGTGAGACATCAGAACTGAAACAGTCAAAGGCTTCAGAAGATAAAATTGTGAATGTTGAGAAGGATGCTGATGAAAATCATAAAAAGGTGGAATCAGAGGAGAAAGAAACTTCTCACACAAATGAACGGAGAGAACCTGAGCCTGCAGAATCAGAGAGCCAGAAATTGTCATGCAGGGATGATCAAGGAGAAACTTTAATGGCAAAATCATTGCAAGCAGATGATAGCACAGTATGTGCCCAGAAAAGCAGTATGAAGCAAGCAGAGAAAGCACATGGTGCTGTGATGAGAGCCCAGAGAAAAGGGGATGGGAAATGTGGGATGGAAGAATCAAAGAAACCAGGTGTTCCTACAGTGGATTTTCAGAAAGGAAATGATGTTGTATATGGAATGAAAGAGTCAGAAGTATCAGATGATAATGCCGCATGTGATCAGAGAGATCGTAGTGGAGAGCCTGTGATTTCATACCCAAAGAAACCATCTAATGTATTAGATGCTCAAAAAGAGTGTGGTCAGGAAACTGAAATGTCAGGATCACAGATACTGGATGATACACACTTAAGTCTTCATGATGATTCTGGTGATGAAACAGACCCAGAAAATGTTTTCAAAGTAGACTCGCATGAAATTAAAATGGAAAGTAATTCTTATAAACTTAGTGCAGTTCAGATATCTGCTTTACCTATTTCATCTGAAGAAACAGTGCACAAAGTACGTGAGAGTGAAGTTATTTGTATTGAAGATAAGCGTCCTTCTGCATCGTTGATACTCCCACAGGATACTGTGACATCGTTTGTCAGCAGTACTGAAGACAAGAAGGGATTGACACAGACTGCAGAATCTGTTGATACTGCTATTCCAGTACAGTCAGCGAAAGTGTCTACAAAACCAATTTCTGCAGGTAGTTCATGTAGTAAAAAAACAAGTGTTGTGTCTCTCACTCCAGGCATTGACAACTGTAATGACTCATTGATAGTTGCAGCAAAGGTGCAGGAGTCTGGTGACCAGTCTGTTGGTGAAAACTGTGTATCAGAATTATCAAGTTCTTTTATTATTAGTGCTGTAGCAAGTCCTCTGTCACAGGATCAGAGTACTGAAAACAGAGAACAGAGTTTGAATTCTGAACTGCAAGCAAGTACACCTTCTGATCACATGAAAGATACAGATCGAGCAGAGAAAACTCCCTTAGTTAGCATAAGAACTGAACCAGACAGTGAAGGCTTGGAACCAAAAGATTCCAGTATCCAAAAAGAAAATGATTCCAAATCATGCCCTGACATTAATCAGCAAACCCTTCTAGGAAATGAAAGGTCAGTTTTTGAGGAAGCTGACAGAATTGCAGATGAGCCAATGAAGGACAGCTTGAATGACGTGCAGGATCTTATAATGCCATTAACACAGGATCTGTTGGAGGCTATGAAAGAGTCTGAGGAACAGAAATCTCCATTCAAGCCTGAGGAGCATATTCCTAGTGAAGATGAGGAACCAGACACAACACCTAAAGTTGGTAGGCATAATCACTTGCCAAATAAGGGAGCCAAGGTTAGAAAGAGACTGAATATTGACAGTAGAAGCTCAGACACTACAAGGAGCACTAGTAGAAGAAGAAGAAGACTTCCTGTTGAAGATACTGTTCAGAATAATAAATCAGATATTACTGTCAGGGCCAGCAAACAAAGGAAACTTTCTGACAAAAATTCTGTACAAAATAGCAGTAGAAATAAAGCAACTGATGGACCGTCCCATAGCAGGACTGACGGATCTGCTGGGGAGTTTCAGCAAAGTGAAAATGAAGCTATAGTGAGCTCAGATGATGTAAATATTAGTAAAGGAAGAAAATCAAAAATCATTGCAGCCAAAAGTAAGGGGCAAAGAAAAACAGTTTCATCAACTGATTTCCAGGACATAAATGTGAAAGTGTTACTTGAGGGATGCAGAACAGAGAGATCTTCAAGAAGTAAAGTTGAAAGGAAAGATCAAGATTTGAGTTCAGAGCAGTGTGATGAACAAAGAGGAGAAAGAAAGTCATTGAGGCACGTGGCCAAATCAACAGAAGATAATGGTCATAATGAAGCAAGAAAAAGCAGAAGAGAAAGAAGTATTAACAAGAATGAAAATGGAAAAAATTCCTTTGAAACTAACAGCCGTCCTCCAAGACAACGACGAATGACGTGGAAAATCCGAGACAGCTTAGTAGCTGATTGCAGTCAAGGAAGTGTGACTCCAGAAGAGAAACCAAAGAACAGAAGCAGAGGAAGTTCAAGCAGTAACTCTCAGAATGAGATTAATGAGAGTCTCCAACTTTGTACAGATACAACTATGAGGTCAAGAAATACGTCTTCAAGCAAATCACCTTCAAAGAAGTTACTGAAGAATTCTGAAGATAGCAGCAATGATATATGTAAAGAAGCGAAAGACACTAGAGGAACTAATTCTGTTTCTCATCAGCAAAATGTGTCTTTACGTAAGTCAGCAAGACTGAGTAAAGGAGATAATGCAGTTACATCTGTGATTGACCCACCAAAGATTGAGTCCCCACAAAGAACAACAAGACAGAATGATAGAAAAAAAGTAAGGACTAATGTACAGAAACGGAAGAATGAAGAAATTTTCACTGAACTGTCTTCCAAACGTTCTAAGAGAGAGAATAAAGTTTTCCCAGTTGATAAGTCTCCAAGAAACAGCACTGACAAATGCAGTCCAAAAACAAGTAAGCGTGTGTTAAATACTGATGAAAGTTTTGAAGGAGTAAGTGAATTCAGTACAAGAGCTTCAAGCAGAAAGGGGACACAAACTGCAAGTGTGTGTTTGATGCAGGAACACTCTGCTTTTGTTACCAGCAGTAGTACAGCAGAGAGAGAAAACAAGAAACAGAGAACAGTGCTCACAAAGACAAATTCTAGTATAGGTATTGTTCAGGGAAATACAAGGAGATGGGTGAGAAGTAGAATGGAAGTTACAAATACCAGTCCATCTTGCTTGAAGGATTTGAATATATTACAATCATCAACTACTTCAAACAGAACACACCAAAGTGTGAAACGTACAAAACTAAGTGCTGAGGAAGATTCTGAACATTCACCACCAAAACAAGCGAAGTCTGGAAAGAGGTTGTATGAACCATGTTCTTCTCCATCCGAGAGCAGCACCCAGAATGTCAAAGTTGAACTTAGAACAAGCAGAACAAGAGGGAAAGTAACAAGTCCTCAAAAATTAGAGGTAGGGGAAATGACAAAACACAAGGCAAAACCTGGTCAGAGAGAGAGAACAAGTAAGATCTCAATGGCTGAGGAAACTGACATATCTGTAATACCAACATCACGTAAGATGAATTTATCTGAGGACCAGGACACAACACCCAAACTTACAAGATCCAGTCGAAGAAAAGGAACACCACAGAGCAGTAGTCAACTTAATTCTCAGAAGGTGAGTAATGCTGACACCATTGTCTGTTAACGTAACAGGAAATATCTCTGTGGCTCTGATAACTGTATAAAAACAAACTAAATGCTTAACTGAAGTGCACTCTAATCCTACATAAGTACTTGACTGTTTTGCTGAGCTAGTTTACTCAGGCAGCAATAATTCTGACTTACATTTGAGAGGTGTCTGATTCAGATCTCTTCTCCCCCCCCCAGTGTCTCCACGAAAGCGTCAAAATAATATGTTAAATGATGCCACAGTCACTTCCTTTCATATCTTTTCCAATCCGTTTTGCTTAGTGGGGGGTGGAGTCCGAGTGGGTCCACTCGGCACAGAGCCACTGATTGGCCTGTTGTAGCCTGCTCTGGGTGATTATCATGATGGAGAATTTGGTGGAATGAAGATTGGCAGGGGAAACCGAAGTACTTGGAGAAAACCCTCCCAAACGCCACTTTGTCCACCACAAAGCTCACTTGACCACACCCGGGATTCCAAGCCATTAGTCACTCACATTATTTGGTAATATGAAGTCTGAGCTGTGGACAGCTGCATTAAATAAAGTACAAATAGAATAAGCTGGAATGTTGCAGGTTCAAGTCCTGATGAGGCTGCTGGATTTTTCAGTTGACCTAATCCATCCAGCCTCACTGTGGCCCAGGGGTTTACTCAGGCTCTAATAGAAATGAGTACCAGGAATCTTCCTGGGGGCAAAGGGTGACTGGAACAGAAGGCTGACATTCTCACAGCCATCTGTGAGCCTTTGCCTAGAAAATGTGGGAGCCTGAACATCTCATAACCCTATGTGCTTCCATGGCTTATTACAGGTATATATCCTTTATTCACTCACTCATGGAGCTGAGCTCTTCTTGAGAAGTTGGCAACTGTGCAGCTACTCAAGAGCTTCCCAGTATTTTATGAAACCCAGAGGTTCATTACCGTGTTCACAGGAGCCCTCCACTGGTTCCTGTCCTGAGCCACATCAGTCCAATCCATACCGTCCCATTCTGTCTCTCCAAAATCCATTTTAATATTGTCCACCCACCTATGCCCTGGTTGTCCCACTGGTCTCTTTCCTTCTGTCTTTCCCACCAATATCCTATATGCATTCCTGTTCGCCCCCATTCATGCTACATGCCCTGGCCATCTCATCCTCCTCCACTTATTCATTCTAATTATATTTGGAGAAGAGTACAAGTTATGAACCTCCTCATTATGCAGTTTTCTCCAACCTCCTGTCACTTCATCTCCCTTTGGTCCAGATATTCTCCTCAGCAACCTGTTGTCAAACACCCTCAGTCTCTGTTCCTCCCTTAATGTCAGAGACCAAGTTTCACACCCATAGATAACCACAGGCAAAATTATAGTTTTGTCTATTCTGATTTTTATGTTTTTGGACAGCAGACAAGAAGACAAAAGGTTCTGGACTGAATGGTAGCAAGCATTACCCGAGTTCAGTCTCCTCTTAATTTCCTCCTCAATCAGGTTTTGGTTTGTTATCATCGTTCCCAAATATTTGAACTGTGCCACATTTTCATAACATCTGTTACCTGTCTTTATATCACGATTTTGGCCTGCATTTTGCTGACAAGACAGTGACATATACTTTAAAGTTTTTGTGTTTTTCTTTATGGTATCTATATTATCACCCAGTAGATTCACATCATCAGCATAGACCAACAACTAATGTGTTCCATTTAATTTCAGTCCCACCTGGCTTCCCTGGACCTTCCTAATGGCATATTCTAAAGCAAAGTTGAAGAGGAGTGGCAGTAAAGCATCTTGTTTTAGACCATTCTAGATAGGAAATTTATCAGACAAATGTTTACATATACAGACTTTACTATAAGGTTTGTTTAAACACATTTTAATCATCATAACTACAAATGATATCAGAAAAGTAAAATAAAAAGTCTGGAAAATACTTGTAAAGCATTTTGTTGGATTCACTTCTGGCATTTTTACAACATGCCTTTATTTACTTTTCAACATAGTAACCATGGATCACAATGCACTTAGTGACCCTGGGAATGAGTTTTTTATTCCAACGTCTTAGAAATCTCCCACTTGTTCTCTTAGCCATGGAGAACAGTTCTTGACACTTCTGGACATTGTTGATGAAGTTCATCGATGGTTAAACGTCTGTCAGCATGAATGTTTTCGTTGGTGAAAACAGATGGCTTTCATCATGAACATCAGTTCTTCCTGCTTCAGAGTCACACCGCCATTTTGCCTGTTCATAACATCTTCACCATAAACAGAAACAAGTTGACAATGAATTTCAGCAGCAGTTTCTTCTTTCACTTGAAGAAATCAAATTACTGCATAAACCTCATATTTGGCGGGATTTTGAATTAACATGGCCATTTTAAACACACCCTGTGAGCACAACATTGCCGTGTCCGTGGCCAGTGAACTCTGCCCTGCCATACGGTTCCTATCTCACATGGCAGCACTGCCATTTCAGGAAAAAAATCCCTCTCATTTTTACTGGACTTGTATCTTTACTTCCGGATATACCTCATAGTTTCGTGGGTACCCTAAACTCTATCAGAATTTTGTACAGTACTTCCCTCCAAACTGAGTCATAGGCTTTCATGAAGTCTATGAATGGTTGATGTGCCATCTCATTGTACTCCCATTTTTCTCTAGTAACTGACAAATGCAAAAAATCTGATCATTAGTTGATCTGTTACATGGAAACCCACACTGATAATGCCCAATGATTTCTTCTATGTATGGATTTAACTGTGAAAGAAGAATATTGGATAAAATTTTGTATGAAGTTGATAGCAGTGATATTTCTCGATAATTACTACAGTCAGTTTTATCACCCTTCTTGTGGACTGATACAATAATAGACTCCTTACACAGATCAGGCAATTTTTCCTTATTCCAAATAGAATTAATTAGGTTATGTATCTTAGAATGTAATATTTCACTTCCTGCTTGAATAAGTTCTGCCAGAATTTGATCACTGCCTAACGATTTATTCCTTTTCAATTTTACAATAGCAATTTCAACGTCAAAAGGGCTAGGATCAGGTACTAACAGCTCAGCTGTAAGGATTTCTGTCTGCCTAACATCACTGATCCTATGTACATTCAATAACTGGGAGGGGTAGTTCTTCCACCTATTCAAAATGTGGGAATCTGTAAGCGCCTTTCAGATATTTCCTCTTATACTTTTTTACCTTTATAAATAAAAATATATTTAACCCTTTCACCCTTCTGTCCATGGTTGATATTTTATGGGTGCTTTGCCCAGGCTGCCCTGTGCATGCAAGATCAGACTCTTAACACATCATTACAAAACTTATTTCTCTTAAATAACGTACTTTGAGCATATAGTTCTTCCATTTATCATTAGATGGGTGTATGTAGACACCTTTTGTGATTCCTTTGGTGTATGTAATTTGTTTCTTTGCCATGAAATACCCCAGGCCACTGGTACACTCCAAAAGATGGATGGTCTGGCAGGCAGGCCAGTTGTAGTGTTTCTGGATGTTCAAGTATGCACATGCAACTGGAATTAGTCCCATCAGATTACACTAACAGGAATGAGCATGAACAGTATGGTTGTATGGGATGTGAGGCCATTTATTTTGGCAGACAGAGATTTCTCTATTTACAATTTATAGAGATGCATACGAGTATATTTTGCAGATTTGTTACTCATTTTCTTCACTGTAAATGAATAGGAGCATTAATAACAAAGGCTGTATGTGGAAATATTTAGTTTGTACTTGAAGTGAACGTTTTTATTACAGAATGGTAACAACAGTGGGGTGAGTACTCCTCGACGTTCTAGTCAACGTAAAGTAGCAGGCGGAACAACTTACCAAGTGCTCTTCACTGGATTCTCAGACACCAAGCAAGAATCCATTGTCAGACAGTTAGGTATGGTAATTAATAATGTATTGCTTCTATTGGTAGGATAAGTAAATCAGAATGTACAAAGCACAGAATCATGTAAGCGATATACAAATGCTAAGTCATTTAAATCTTCTATCTTCACTTAGGCTCAGAATCGTGACATGGAGTCTCTTGTATAGCTGGTTATTTGATATGGTATTTGTATCATTTCTCATATAATTTTATATATGTTAATTTAATTATAAATACTTTCTTTATTCTTTTAATTGTTTCATTCAGTTGTGTTTCATGTCTGACTGTGTTTGCTGGCTCAAGCAGTAACTTCACTGGTGCATGCTGCCTGCATCTTCAGGCTCAAAGGCAGTAGGGTGGGTTTCTGTCTTGTGTACATGAGGTGCCCTTTTTAATCTTGGTGAGGACACTGACTGTCCTGACTGAAGTTTTTCTTGGTCTTACCCATTGCTTCCAGGCAAATGCTGGGCATGATTACTTCCTTTGACATGCTTTTCAGTTTATCATCCATTAATCCTACAATTTGATGCTATGTAATCTGAGCTACTGAAACCATTAGATACAGGTGTTAGCTGTACTGGATTACTGCATCAAAATTTTGTTGTTGTTGTTGTTGTAGGTGGCAGTGTGGTGGATTTACCTGAATCTTGCACAGTTCTTGTCACTGACAAGGTGCGGCGAACGTATAAATTCCTTTGCATCATGGGTCAGGGGAAACCAATTGTCTCGCCTGAATGGCTAGTACAATGTCAGCGCTCCGGTTGTTTCCTAGGTACAGTGTATGTTGTACTTTAAAAGTCCTAACTCTTTAAAGCACAGTGGTTACTATATTGTGACGTGGATGGCGCAACAGGAAGTAGGGGTCATGTGAACTCTGTAGTCCTGTGAGTGACGTCACATACCCCCACTCCTTCCATCATTATGCAACGCTCGGTAAACACTATGTTGCCTCCCGTGGTGACATAACAGCACTTCCTGCAGTGACGTAATAGGGGGCATCGCAGTTACTACACAGCAATAAACAACTCTCGGCAGCGTTGTCCAGCAATGCCTGTAAACACGGTGATTACGCAACAGGGAAGCAAGGTGGGTTTTCCACTGTCCGACTGAGGGTTTATAAGGGAGACTGGAATGCCTAAGCAGTTAGTTGAAATATAGCAGCAGTCGCGGAAAGAAGACCCGAAAGCGTGGTGAGAGGATTTTATGTGATAGTGCGCGATAACTGAGAAGTCAGCAAGTGAAGACCTATTGTGTGCTGTAGTACAGTTATATTGGGAGTGTGTAATTTAGTGAGACTTGTATACCTCCTGCATTATAAATACATGAAGACTACTGAGGATAGTGTGAAGAGATTTGTGAGTAAAGTCTGTAAAGTGTGTAAACCCGTTAAAATTAATTGTAGCTACGACTTGTAGGTTGTTAAATAAACCAATTAACAATCTGAACATTGTCTTCAGTAGCAAAACACATTACAATATGTATCACGTGCTTTAACAGTTTTGTTTAATAATCATGTGACAAAACTTGTCCCGGACTCACTAAACCCATGTCCAGCACACATTTGTCAAATGCACACTTGGTTATACCTGTACATATAAGAACTTACTGAACATGAAAAATTTGAATATGTGCATGCGTGCATGTGTGGTGGTTGGGGGAGGGGGTGAAAGACTTCAGTCGTGCTAAACATATATTATGATTGAGCAGATGTGAAATCAGTCAAAATTGCATCCTTTTGAAGGATGTTTGAAGACTAGTTACTGTAAAGCTTAAGTTACACCTTAAAATGTTTGTCGACAGATCCGTGGCAATTCCTGATAAAAGACCATGAGTCAGAGTCCAAGTTCAAGTTCCGGTTACAGGAGTCATTGGAAGCAGCGTCTCGGACTAACCTACTTGCTGGCTACAGTGTTTATGTCACACCAAAAGTCAAACCTTCCCCATCGGAGATGAAAGGTGAAGTATTACAATGTTACGAGGGTAAGTCAATAAGTGAGTTACAAATGGATATAGAACTTAAATAAGAGTACTGATTTGCAAAATGCTTTTATTTCTCAACATAACCTCCCTGTACATTGAGGCACCTGTCCCATTGTTTTGCAAGCCCCTGAAAACCAGCAGCATAAAATTCTTTGGGCTGCTGTCGGAAGCAGGCAGTGACTTCCCTTTCCCTTACTACAGCTTCAACGTCTGGAAAATGTTCAGCTGAAAGATGGTTTTTAAGAGGGCCGAACAAATGGAAGTCGCTTGGAGCAAGGCTTATCACCTGTGACAGTTCAGGCTAGCATATTGTGTCCTTCATCGTGGTAGCGATTGAGATGCTGTAATGCCAGACCCATTCTTTGCATTTTGTGTTGTGGGGTCAGCACACACGGCACCCATCGTGCACAAACTTTGTGAAAACCTAACCTGTCATGTGACTTCCATTTGTTCGGCCCTCTTAAACATTATCTTTCTGATGAACATTTTCCTGACGATGAAGCTGTGGAAAGGGAAATCACCGCCTGGTTCTGATAGCAGCCCAAAGAATTTTATGATGCCGGTTTTCAGGGGCTTGTGAAACGATGGGACAGGTGCCTCAATGTACAGGGGGATTATGTTGAGAAATAAAAGCATTTTTCAAATCAATACTCTTATTTGTTTAAGTTCTATATCCATTTGTAACTTACTTATTGACTTACCTACGTAGATATGTTATGGGTGAAATAGTAATGGTAAATTTCTGTTACATCTGATGTATGATTGAAGGAATATTTAGGATTAGAAATTAGCCATTTATTATTTATCAGATAGCATTTATATTCCAGCTCCACCACATGTTCTCATTTTACACTATCTCATGCCACTGGTAATGGAAGATGAATTTCAGAACTACAAAACATTCATGTAAACATAATTGAATAATTAACTGTTGTACTGTGACAGGTATAGGGGGCACACAGTAGCATGGTTGGTTATGGGGCTGTGCTACAAGCTGGAAGGTCGCGGGTTCAAGTCCCAATGAGATCATTGAATTTTTTCATTTGACCTAATTCTTCCAGCCGCACTATGGCCCTGGGGTCGACTCAGTCTCTAACAGAAATGAGTAACAGGAATTAATTAAATAATTTTCCTGGCGAGTATAGCGCGGCCGATGCGTAAGGCTAACAACCTTACCGCCATCTTTGAGCCAATTGTCTAGATAATGTGGGAGCCTCAATGTCTCATGACCCTGTGGGCCTTCACGGCCTGTTACTGGGACAGCTTTACTTTTTTTACTTTTTTACTTTACTGTGACGGGTATGGGAGACTGGATATTTTCTCATATGTATAGCATCAACAGATAAAGGATGAAGTACTTTTGCTTTTTACATGACAGCTTGTTACTCTTCCAGCTATCTGAATCAGTGGTGTGAATTCTTCATATGTTTTTGTGTTTGCAGGCATTATTGAAAGCTGCGGTGGTGTTTTCATAAACCAGGCACCTAACAAATCTTGGCCAATTAATAGTTTCATCATCTCTTGCTTGGATGATAGATCCATGTGGTGTAAGCTAAGGAAAGCAGGTAAACCCATTGTGGGAGCTGAACTGCTGCTGCTGGGAGTTCTACAGCAGAAGCTTGATCTTGTATCAAATACTTTGGTGTAGTGATTCAAAATGTCTGTATTGTGTTAAAGGAACTTGGTTTTTCACATTGTATGCTTTCTTTGTAAATTCTTTTTGTCTGTCCATAAATTTTATAATGTTGTAAATGTGAATGTGTGTGCAAGTAAGTGCACGTTCTGTATGTAAACAAACAGTAAAACCTCGTTAATTTAAACTTGCTTAACGTAACTTGAAATAAGTATTTGTTTCGGATTTGAGATTCTTGTGGTGGTGACTATGAAGAGTATGGTCTCTTGGGCTGTAGTACGAGTGTTACATAGTTCAGAGGCGAGATATACCTCCAAGATGTTGGGCTTTCTCTGAACTGTTGTATCCCGCACCTGGAATCGATGTCATATCCCAGTAGCAAGTCAGGTTGGCTAGGGCAAGCCGTTCCCTTGGGAGTCAAAATGGGATAGCTTCAAGGAACAGCAGAGGTAGAGTTAGGTGGTTTAATGTACAACTATTAAAATGCAATGCTTACAGGAAAATGTAGAGTTAACACAACAGTTTTGCACACTGCCTACGCCTGGGCAGCCACCGACTTCCTCTATCAGACAATCTGTCCTCACGGATCGTAGACTGTCATGATCAAAAAAGTGTCTTGTAATGCCCAAGGGGGGGTATATATTCCTTCCTCCTTAAGTCTCTAATAACGTCACACATTACAGCAGCCTAAAACTTCCAGAACGTTCTCTTGTTTACAGTATGTGCGTCTCTCCTGGACTTTGATTGAACTTGACAAAATTTATGAGGCAGGAGAGTGCACGATTGTCACTGTCTTCTAGTTGAAAACAAATATGTTTTGGTATGATAATACAGGTGAGAGGTCAATTTACAATCTTTTAATATTTTGTCATATTATAGTCTCTTCCTCATTTCATGTACTTAAAGTAGTTATTTTAATTGTCCACCTTCCTTCATTTTTAAGCATCTCACCTTGCAATAATCCCTATTATGTCAGTTACCTTATCCAACAGCTTGCTATGTACTTGGTGTTCCCTATATAGATATTAACCTTTAACATATGGACTTTTAAATTGCCGGGAGCCTCCTGTGGCCGCTATTTAAATCACCCTGATTAATTAAATTTGCAAACCGTCAGAAAAAATCCATATTTTCTGTTCTATGCAACATAGAAATAAAAACTAAAAACAACCTGAAAGACAATAAATTTTTCTACATGTACACAGAAGAGCAATTTTTACAAATGAAAATTAACTGTGATTATTTTGTCATGAATTGCAAAATATAATATTTATTATATATGTTATGAAATTCCAAAGGACTTACCCATTGTTTTTTCTTCAGTCTTGAATCATGGTGATATTGTAAATATAATCACACTGTATACTCGTACAATAATATTTTGTTCAGACTGTACGTGAGTTTGAACTGCGTCACTTCACAGTTTACGATAACTCACACTCGATGCGCATGTACTACTTCTCGAAGCAGTCCAACATGCATAGCACAACCCACGTCTCGAAGCAGCCAAACACACACAGCGCAACGTCACACTTTTTACAGTAGTAGAGCGTGCTTCTGCGCTTCTTATTCTGAGAACAAATATGTCTTAGTTTCCCTTTGGTTGGCCAGTGTTGTGAATGTTTCACCTCCAGTCAACTCAGTTGGGCTCCAGGTAACCTTGGCGTCCCCCGAGAAACGCCACTGACCGTGATATTTGCCTTGTGATATTCAGCTTTCGGACTTGGTGATATTGTAAATATAACCACTCTATATACAATAATATTACTGTAGGCAAGTTTGAACTGGGTCACTTCACTATGATAGTCACACTGACACGCGTGGCACTTCTCGAAACAGTCCACTTCACACAGAGCAAAATCACACTTTTTACAATAGAAGAGGGTGCTCCTGCTTTTCTTATTTAGCGAAACACACGACGTCTTTGTTTCCCTTTGGTTGGCCAGTGTTGTGACTTTTTCAACTCCAGTCAACTCAGTTGGGCCCCCTGATAAATTTGGCCTTCCCCCGAGAAACGCCACTGACCGTGACATTCGGCTTGTGCAATTGAAGAATCATCTTGGGGGAGGGGGGTTTCTAGCAAAATTGAATAAATTATGTTGATTGACAAAGCGACACTCTCACCTGTTGGTAATATTTGCAAAATAGTGATGCAAAGTAATTATAATACTAGTTGAAAAGAGTGCCAGCCCGACACTGATACCAAAAGTCGCAGTGGTGAAGATGCCTTTACTCACAAAGTAATACTGGCTCAGTGGGTTTATATGTCTTCCAAGACGCAAAATAAAAATGATATATAAAGAAATTGACAGTCTGACACTGACTTTTTAACTGATAAAGAAATATTAGACAATCCGACACTGACTTCCTTACTGATAATTCACCACAGAAAACCAATCCTTGAATGGGTCAGACTTCCTTGAAGGCTCTGGAAGCAGTCATCTGCAAGCACCGATAAATATTTCCTCTCCTCTCCATGATTTATGCTAGCCATCTTACAGTGCATACACTTTTTCACCTTACTCTTCTCTTTTGCACTACATGTTTCAACACTAATGTGCCATCTTCAGGTGCGTTTTCTCTATGCATGTCTAACTACTGCATTGCATGCCCTGATGTCTTCATATTAAAATGACTAAAATTATATTCGTCATATATAATAATAGATTTTAAATATTAAAACTTTTCAGAATTTCAGAATCACGCCAATCCTCTGTCGGAGCATTCTTCCTGCATTCATAAACAGTCATATCTAAACGTAAATAGTATCGAAACCAGTACCGTGATAAACAATTTCTTTGTTCAGAGCTAAGGAATGAACCACTGACATGACCTCACGTAGGTTTGTTTTGGTTTCCAACCCAAGGTCAAACTGCCAGCACTCCCAAAGAGAGCATGTGTTCTGCGACCTATATACAGGTCATTCGGCCAACTCTGGGTCCTGCTTGCGACCTATATATGTGACATTCTGACGTTAAAGGTTAATATAACCCAGTTTATACCAGGTATTCCCATATACAACTCTGGCATAATATATATACAACACCTCCCTCTTCAAACAGAGGCTCAATTTACACATTAATTGGGCCTAGAAATAGGATTTCGCTGCTCTTAATCGCCTCGACCTCCTAAATTCAGGGTTACTGCTTTTCGTTGAACTACTGTCCAAGTCTTGCAGCGGGATGGCCTCGGGGTTCCCGGATAAACTTTCGTTACTTGTTTTTATGTTAATATTGACTACATTTCCGGCCCTGCTTGATTTGGTGAATAACTTTACCTCTTCTACCGGCCCCATAAGGGCCCTTACTGTGTTATCTCCATGCCATCGTCCGAAAATGAACCGTCCCAACCTATAAATTCCATACATGGAAATCAAGGTTATTAGGATATATGCAAAAACAGAATGTGCTCTATGATATTGCAAGTGCTTGTGTTTCCATTCGTTCTCCTTAATTTTCTCTTCCAATTTCAGAAATTTTGTAACTTGCATACTTCAAATCTTCTACGTGCAAAACTACATGTTTAAAGTCTAGCCTTAGTTCAGTGTCACTCAAATTTTGGGAAACGCCCAGGTTCTCGCAACATTCAAATTGAGCTTCGACCTTGGACAGTAGGTCACCTCCATTTTTCGTAGTGTTTGCTTGGATAACATTCTTGGTGGCCAACAAGGCCATAAGGCTATACGCTTTACAATTTGGTTGAATCATTAGTTTACCTGTACTGGTAAGTAAGATGTCTGTTGTATCCCTACCTGGACACAAGATGATAGTACTATCACTCGAAGGGATGAAATAAATCCATTCATTTCTCTGTTCTAATTGCGTCCAGATTGTGTTTGTGTGAGTTGTACAATTCTTGTATCACAGATCCTTGGGATGTTTATTCTGGATTGTGACAACTTTATCGCACATGCATCTTGCATATGGCTATTCAGCAGGGGTCTTGTTTGCTTGCAAATGTACTTAGTTGGCTCAATCGTCTTGCACCTTCTTAGCTCTTCCCTATCTGACATAAAGTAATACTGTCTCGTCTGATTGACATACAGTAACTTACTCTCAGTTTCCATATAAATGAATTTGCCTTGACCCATTGCTACCGGCAATGGTAGTAGCCTAAACATTTTAAACACACCCCTGTTGATCAGCGGTAGGCTAATAACCTATCCTAGGATACCATTTTTTATATATATATATATTTATGTCACATATTTTATATATTAGGTTGGTCGAATCCTTGCCAATGATAAAAGGTGCCATCGTTTCCTTTGGAAATTCTGCAATACTCCTTTTCAGGGTTTCTAAGATTAAACTTGGTGCAACTATTTGCGGTTGTAATATTCTCCTTTGTGCATTGATGACACTTTCTGTCATCAGGTCTATATTTCTTTGCATGACCGAGAGGGCAGTATTAACTCGAGCAATGTGCCCTTTGGCTGTTATTTTGATATCCAACAAATTTAGTCGCAAATCAGCACTGCCCACAAACTGTTCTATGTAAGCTTTTAGTTTGGTTAACCCTGTCTGAGTCACTTGACTGTTATATTCTAAATCCGATATCATATCGTTAAAGGTCCCAAGCGATGCCCTTATGATAGACAATTTTTGCTTCATTAAGTTAGTCAGATCTTCTGAATTTTTCTTGAATTGATTAAACTGTTCATTGTAATAGTCCGCATCATCTGCATCTAGTGTACCAAATAAGATCTTGCTTACCTGATCGAAATTTAGTGCTCCCCTTCGTTTTCTCAATCGTTTTGGTTTTTCCCCTACTAGCTCGCGAAGTATATTTTTGCTCCCCTTTATTTTCCCAAAGATTTCCCTAGATATCGTATAAAAGTGACTACAATTGGTCCAGTTCCTGATTTCTGTCATGTGACATAGCTGGTTTATGTGGTCTATGTATTGGCCTAGCTGGTCAATGTCACAGTCAGTTTGCCCTAAATTTACATATACCACCGTTTTCCAGTTGGTGTTATATAGTGTTGTTTCCCCTAACTGTTCGTAATATAATCCTGGTGATTCGTCGTATTTCTCTATTGAGTGGCCTAGCCCCTTTTCTGCGACTTGGGGTTTCGCAGTTTCCCACGACCATACAATCCAGAGTATGTATGCCCGTGCTCTCCCACCATGCATCTGAAAAGTAAAAATGTTTGTTCATGTCCTCTAATTCCTGTCCTAATAAAACATCTTTAGTGTGTTTAAGTGTACCTTCTGGCTATTTCACCCTTTCTTAATGGTGGCGTTTACCCTGTCCAGATTAATGATTTCGTAGGGGCCTAACCACTGGGATGAAAGTTTTGTAGACCTCCCCCTTCGGACTGTTTCATCATATAGCAGTACCTTGTCCCCTACTCAAAACGAAGGTACCCTTGAATTCTTGTCGTAGTGTTCTTTACTTCTCTCCTTACATTTTAGTAGATTTTCTCGTGCTATCTTGTGTGCTGTTTGTAACCGACTCTTTAATTCGGTTACAAACTCATCATAATTGTACTGTACACTGGGGGGTTCTTGTAGTACAGAAGGCATGGTTGCCTTGATTCCATACACTAATTTGAATGGTGTGTACCCAGTGGAAGTGTGTGTGGATGTGTTATATACATGTACCACATAGGGAATCCACTCGTCCCAGTTACTTGGATCTTCCTTAATATAGTGCCTCGGGTATTCCTTTAATACCCTGTGACTCCGTTCTAGGCTACCGTTACTCTCTGGGTGAAACGAAATTGTTTGTAATTTCTTTATCTTTAGTAGTCTACAAGTACTTCTAAATACCTCACTTAAAAAATTTGATCCTTTGTCAGTTAGTAGTCTTTTAGGCGTTCCCATACATGATTCGTCCCTTCCTTTCCTCACTAGAGACCTCCTCTTGGTTTCCCTCGTCCTCAAGCACTAACCCATTTATTCTACTTAGCGCATTGGCATTTGTATTCAGCGTTCCCTTCTTATAGACTATCACGTAGTCGTATTCTTCTAATTTTATCCTCCACCTAAGTAATCGGGATCCGGGGTCCTTTATGTTCATAACCCACATCAGTAGTTTGTGATCACTGACTATGGTGAACTTTCTACCATAAAGGTAA